ACAAATTCGCACAGTGATCAAATGGAAAATCGGAGTAAAGATGGCTACGGCAAGTAAGTGGGATACATTCATAGAATTTACCCCTTTTGAAATTCTCAAACTTTGAGCGAAGAAATCTTGACGATCTTCTTACACTTTTGTTGGTAAGTGACACGCAGAACGACACGATCGCAATGCACTTTGATTAGAAGAGATAAGACTGCATTCTATTGGATTCAATATTTTTATTTGTTAGCAATACAATATTATCACAGTCCTAGGCAATTAGCAAGCTATTCTAGGCGACCCTTCTAAAACAAGTGCTGTCTCTGCTAAGGATCACATACCGATACAATTAAACAAAGATAATCATTAATAAAAATACAATTGTTTTTAAAATTAAGTCCGTTGAATAATTAAATAATCAATTGCAAAGTTATCAAGATATATAATACAATTGAAACAAGACTTAAACGAAGAGTTACTTTATCAAGAGATATTTATTTTTTTTCTGATAGCCACTTGGCTCCTAAATTCTTCAAAGTGGTAGCCAATTCAAAAAAAGTTGGTCGCCATTTTCAAAGACAAACAAAATCTTTCTTTACGCTGTCAGCGTTCTAGATAGACCCTCCAAAATTAAGTTAGGGAAAAGATTTTTAATGCGCTACAAAGTGGACACTAGGATGGATGATATACAACGTTCAGGCTCATCTAAATCCAAGATGGCGTCTAGTTATCGATCGAGATGCATGTGCTACGTTTTGGAAACAAACCAAACGAGGAAGTTTGCCGCGGATTTATCTTTGCAAATCTTTTTAATTCACTATAGCTCTAGGTAAGGTTATGATGAAACGTTCTAGTCGCCAATTTGGCGACTAACTTTCAGGATTTCGTCGCCAAAGTGAAAAATTTAGGCGCATTGGCGCCTACAGTTATTATTCAGTGTAACGTAGGGCTGAAAAATAAACTAATAAAAGCTCCGCTTTTAGGCTTGGCTAAATCTATATATTATATATTCCCATGAGGACATAACTACAACGGAAGACTTGAGGGCGACCCTAAAAGCCGGAACGGTGGAATGGCGGAATGGCGGAAAATGACCCCAAATCCTAAAGCACGGAACGGCGGAAAATGACCCCAAATCCTAAAACACGGAACGGCGGAAAATGATCCCCACTGTATTGGATTGGTTGGCTAGGGGATCTTTCACCCATACCAAACGCCCCTGTGTGCTTCTTTTCCAACCGAAAAATGCTAATATTTTTTATAATTATTTTTAGGGTTGAGTCTGACGATGACGACTCTGAAACATTTGTGAACGGTTCTGAATCCCAGGATCACAGTGAAACTGCGTCTTTTTATCTTGGTGATAAACACATACCGGTTTATGCCTCAGAGATGAAGGAATTGTCAAACAGCGACATTGCACGGCTATTACTAGATCCTCTTGAAGATAAAGTCGCTTCGAAACCACCCGTAAAGTGTCAAGAAAACAAAATTTTCATCATTGATAAAAAATCGCCGTATTTTCGAAACCCAGACGACTGGAAAGCAGATGGCCTTGGAGTCTACAAAAATGATGGAACTCATGTTGTTGCGTATTACGAGGACAAGAATCCGGAAATCCGCTGGATATCCAAAACAAAACCAGAAGATTGCAAACGCTCCACAGTTCTTCTCAAGAGAACGTACTGGACGCACGTACAACATCCTGATTTCCGCAGAAGAGCTTATGAAATACTCAGATATAGTGGGCACAGCTTTACGCCCGAGCGATTCGTACTTTTACAGTACAGTTTCAGCGGAAAACCACATGCGATCACGACCAAACCACACGGCAATTCTATGTCCGAGAAAGCTTTTACTCGCACCGAACCTGGAGTTTTGGAGAGCATCAAGGGAAAGGTGAAAGGTTCTGCTCCTCCGTTCAAAGTGTATGACGAAGTGTTTGAAGAGGCTGGGGCCTACTCAAGGTTTGCAGTGTCTCAGATGTTCCCAGAAATAGAAAGCAAGTGGAGAACGCAAAATATAAGGGAAGGGAAGTTCGAAGTCAAGACGAGTTATACGACCTAACCCTCAAATCAAAAGAAGAGGAGGAAACGGGAAAAGTTTATATTCGACGCCTGCAAGTTGTACCTAGTCTGGCATGCGTTTTGGCTTCTGATAGGCAAGTTCAGGATGTTAAGCGGTTTTGTGCCAATACAACTGAAAATTTTTCAGTGCTCTCCATCGACATAACTTTCAACATTGGCGACTTCTATGTGACACATACAACCTATAGGCATCTGCTGCTGGACGACAGAAGAACTGAAAACCCCCTCTTTTACTTGGGCCAACACTAATACATACGAGAAAGGATAGCGACACCTTCAGCTACTTTGGAGCCACACTTACAGGACTTGAAAACGGCACTAGAAACATACGATTTATAGGGTCAGACCGAGAAGATGCCGTTGAGAAGGGAATGAGTCTTTATCTTCCTGTTGCAACATGGCTTGCTTGCAAACGTCACGTGGTAGAGGACTGTAAAAGGAAGCTTCGCTCGTTAGGAATCTCATCAGAGTACCTTACAGCTTTTCTACGTGACATATTTGGGTCTGATGCCAACCATGAAAAAGGGCTCATCGATTCCGAAGGATGCATGGACTTTGATGCTAAACTTGAGAGTTTGGAAAACGTGTGGAATTCAAGAGAAAACATCAAGGGGTACAGCACTCTCCGATTCAAGCAAAGCAGTATTCCACAAGTACTTTGTCGCACACGTTGCGGAAGACATAAAGAAGAAGATGATTTCCCCCGTTAGAAAACGTGCTGCCCTAGGGGAAGCCTTTTTTTACAACAACGCAGCAGAGTCCAAACATCAGCGGATAAAAGCACGAAAAGGGCAGATGTACGGGGAAAGAAAACTCGCCTGGACTGAAGTAGTTGACTTGCTAAAATCTATTTCTGAAGAGGAGGAAAGGAATTACGAAAGGGCTGTGGATGAGGGTCCTTTCAAGATAAGGCAGCAATACAGTTCCAAGCTTCATGTTCCCTTCTCCACCTACATCGGGAAGTCGCACGCCCAAAAGGAGAAGATTAATAGGAGAGTTCATGAAATTTCAATGGAGGCATTTTTACAACTGGAAGAAGGCTCGATCAATAATGCAAAGGCTAAGAACAAGAATCTGACCAAATGCGCTTACAAGAACATGCCAAAGTCAGTCGGTGGGAAACCTGGAGAAGCCGAACGGAAAAGAAAACGTAATCCCCAGTCCGAGCGTTCAGCTAGCAAATACACAGAAAGAGTTCCTACCCCTCCGAAACCAACACTTAACACCAATACCTTCAAAGTTAAATGGCTCAAGAACTCGAGAGTTTACAGATGTTATGGGTGTCGGCAAAACATCCGTCCCAAACCCCAGAAAGGCGAAACGGAAGTTGTTCCTCCACCACCTTGGGACTTTGTTCTCGCACGACTGGAACTCCGGCTAATCTCTAATGGTGCTGGTGAGCTGAAGATGTCCATCAAGCCGGAACCAGTGCATTATCACCCAAAATTGTCCTGCATTCGCAACACCCACGGCAAAAAGTATTATCCGTCGGTGGAAGTAACGGATGCTGACAAGGAGGTGATGGATGATATTCATCTTCGGCATTTACGAAGCGAGTTCGGTCTATGAACAGTCTGCGCAATAGCGACGAGGCCATAATTGCCGTATTTTCTCGAATAAGGGCTCACCCCAAACGCCTTCAGACTCAACTACAGCACAATCAGTGCAGGTTAATAATCTCCTATTAAGTGCCCCCCTCGATTAAGTTCTCTCCTTATAAGAGCCCCTTCTTTTAGCCAAAAATTTAGATGAGCGCTCGGGTGCTTATTCGAGGAAATGCAGTGCTTTTCAAGCCCGCTCGGATCAGTTTGGTTTATAATGATAGAAAAGTAATAGTATTTCAAATATCGGAGTTTGTGTTTTTATGTAAGCAATTGTAGCAAAAGTTTTCGCTTGAGTCGACCATTGTTTATGTTATAAGACGAAACCTGTGTGAACATGATTCGTAGACAGGTCCCGTTAATGTTAGTTATTGCTGAAATTATTTCCAGTTTTTTTAAATCAACATCATTCTCACTTTTAAATTAAGCAACCGTGTAGCATATTTTGTCTAAAATTCACTCATTATTATTATTAGGGTTAGTTGGTGAAACCTGTGTTAAGATGACTGACATTGACAGGTCCCGTTAATATAAGATAATGGTATTCCTCGTTGATTAAAGCTCGATATATTTTCACTGATAATGTCGAAGTTTTAGTTAAGATTGCGTTAACAAGAAGTAAGTCAACGCTAGTGATTGCATCACTGCATGTGGACAAAGTCAAACCCTGACAGGCCTAATGTCAATTTTACTCAAAAAAGAGAGGTTGATAAATTAGTTAATGGACATCCACAGCATGATATTAAACATTATTACGAGCAAAGATATTTTTTTCCGGTATTGACTTAATATCCAAGGAAGTTATCCTCCTAAGGGGAAATTAGTGTGGGTACACTTGATTTTTATTTGGCTCTCTTGATCCTTTGGCCTTGCCTATAATTCAATCTTTTAGGCTTTGGGGTAATTTTCCGCCATGCCGTCTTTTTTTTTGCTGCTAGCAGATGACTGGAAAAAATGGGGTCAAAATCTTGTTCGAGTAAGCGGGGGTTTCGCTTAGGGTTCGAGCACTTAATTTTAGTCACGCGCGTTATCGTCGTGGGGATAAATGAGCCAAGCGCTTGGTGTCTTTGTACAAAATTTGTGCAACATGCCCTGACATCCGTTCCGTGTTTTAGGATTTGGGGTCATTTTCCGCCGTTCCGTGTTTTAGGATTTGGGGTCATTTTCCGCCGTTCCTTATTCTAGGATTTGGGGTCATTTTCCGCCATTCCGCCATTCCGCCATTCCACCGTTCCAGCTTTTAGGGTCGCCCTTCAGTGAAACCTTTTTTTGGGTAGACCTCGGCCTTGAGAGACCAGCAAGGGACTGGGTATGAGTTGAGTAGTGATAATGGCGGTCACGTCGGCTAATTGTAGTGCGTTAGTTGGTTACAAAGTTGGCGAAATATCCAAAGCATTACATTCAAGAACTGAAAGTAAAACAAGAGCAGGTGACAAACTCAATTCCTTGTTCAGTTCAGCTAAAGTAATTCAACCTGAATTTGAGGCAATTGGTCCAAAGGTAAGAAATGCTACTAACTAACAAATAGAGTCCTTGCTGCTATACGTCTGTTCAGGAGGGGATCATAGATGAATTCATGTTGTCATGCTTCTGATCAGTAATAGATCACAGATGATGTCAAATTGTGTTGAGAGCGAAAAAGCGGCAGAAAAAGCTGAGAGTGTCACTGATGATGTCTTCTAGGATCTGTTACTGCACAGAACCACGACATCATGGAATCTACTTATTTTTTGGATAAAAAAAGAAATATTTTGTCAATGGTGAAATCATCTATGTATATGTCCTTCAGATATATGCTTCAGCTTATCAAATAAATAGCTCAAAGATGCACAATTGTACAGATACTTTATGGTAAGAGGGGGAAGAGAAATTTGAGGATATTACATTGTATGTGAAGTACTTAGGCAGTAAATTAGCCAGTCATATTACTAGGTTGTTAGGCTTTAACAAGAATTTGATAATCATTTGTAAAATTTTGTTTCATGTTCTTCATTCAGACATGTAGAACACCTTCAAGGGATGCTCAGAATTTTAAGAGAAACTCTACAGATTGTGAAGAAATTGGAGATCTACATCAAGGTATTATGAGTTATGTTCAGGTTCAAGAGTGGCTATATAGGATTCTGTAAAGCAGGTCCTAAGCTATTCTCTCACCCATGATACAAATTATGAGGGATGATAATACATATTGTGACAATGAGAACAACAAAGTTTTGGGACATAGTGGTATAAAGCAAGCATCTCCTGGTGGGTAAGTGCACTTTCCTAGCCTGTGAGTTATCATGGCTTAATCTCTTACAAAAATCACAAGAGCCAGCAACAAATGAAGCTATGTTTGAAATCATGCTCAAACTATGAGTGGGAAGAAATAGTATGTTTGTGGTTCTACCATATTTCTTCACCTATAAGTCGACCTCAGCTATAAGCCGAGACCCTAAAAGTTAGAGACCTTCCAACAGACTTGTGTTGTCCAAAAGAAAAAGCAAAACCATTGGCTATAAGCCGAGAGTGAAATTCTTGATTATAACTGGTCATTTGAGTGAGCGAACCCCATGGAAAAAATTGGGAAATGGCTCAACAAACACAAAAGCTAATGAATGAGAATAAACACGAAAGAAAAAAAAGCAAATCAGTGAAGATGTAAATACTACTACACGACTGCAGAAACACAACAATACTCTCAGTTACTGTAACCTGACAAATGTTTCAATAGAGGATCTCCTTTGTCACTGTTATTTTTCTCATCATGCCAAAAGCACGCCGCTCTTCATATACTATGGCTTTCAAGATAAAAGTTATCACGGAAGCTGAGGCTGTAGAAAACAGCACGGAAATTGCTTGAGATTATGGACTTAGCAAGTTCATGGTGTGACACTGGAGAAGAGACCAGGCGACTATTCTTTCTGGCAAACTTAAGATGTCTGCCAGATGGGCAAAAATGGGCCGTTTTGCTCCCAAGTGTCTCAAACTAGACGAGCAAGCAACGGAGTGGTTTTCACAGCAGAGAGACCAAACATTTCATTTGTAATGTGAAATGAGATGAGTTTTTGCTGAGTTGAGTGAGATTGTCTTTCAATGCATGGGAAGCAAAGAATCTGATTGGTGGTCGGAAATATGTTGTTGTCATGACAGTTATAAGGCATGTCACCTAGAGAGCGCTGCAGTCACAGAATTTACGGTCATTTTGCATTAACATTAAATTTGTACTTTTTTTGAATCCCAAACCCTCGGCTATAAGCCAAACAAATGTCAAATACTGAAAAAATCGCTCGGCTTATAGGTGAAGAAATCAGTAATTTTCCTCTGTTTAATTGGTTTTGGAAAATTATTATCTTACTAAGACAATGAATAACTTAATAATATGCATTTTAAATAAAAGGTCCTGTCTAAGTTTAATTTTTATTGTGCAATAAAAGGAAAGGAGTGTTAAATTTCCCAAAAATACAGGTTAAAAAAAAATTACAATTTCTTTGCTTTAAAGAATTAGCAGTATTGAATTGAAAAGGATGTTTATTTCAAGGATTTTGCTGTAACATAAATTTACAACCAAAGAATGACTGCATAACCAACGCAACTTCATAGTTTGGATTTTGTGATGCTTCTGTTTGTTCACTGTGTACAGTTTAAGCTTGCTTGTGAAAGCTAGCAAGGTTTGATAATTTTTTACATTTGCTTTTTAAATTTGAGAAGGAATCAGTGAAAACTCTCAGGTAAGCAGAGGTGATGCAAATAATTTAGGTGAAAGGAAAATGATGTACAGTGGTGTTGGATCAACAACTTGATGGAAGTTAAACTTTTGTACATTCTTAAGTCTGTTGTCTCTTTATTCATGATATTATACAGTGAAATCTGAAATTTTATGAATTTAGAGTGAAGTTCGCAAAATGGGAAAAGCTAACTTTTGAAATTTCTGCCAGTAAACTTAAGTGTAATATGGTGATAATCATCTTCACAGAAATTATTTTAGTGAAATTATTTTATTTGAAATATTACCTGCTTTGGTTGATACCATAAATTCACAATGGTCCTGTGTTGTGGAAAATGACATAATTGCAATTTCTGATATGCACTAACTCAATAACATTCTTTGAGTAGGAAGAAAAAATTTCTCAAATATAATAGAAACAAACAGATTTTCAAAATACACTTGAAGATTAAAGGATATCGAGATGAAATTTTGGACAGATATATCTCTGAGGCTAATATTACTGGGAGGGAAAGGTCACTCAAAAACAAAGAAAATAGCACTCTAAAGAAAATATTGCCCTTTGGAACACAATATCTTTTGGCTCTGCCTAACTTCAAGAACACAGTGATGGAGAATTGGAATCTTATTCAAAACCATCTACACTCAAGAGTAGTATTTAAAAGCCAACCCAGTATGATGTTGAAAAGGAAGGTCATTAAAAGATATCCTGGTTAGAACTAATCAACAAAGGCAAAAGATTTAAAATTTCTTGGAAATGGCAGGTGTCATGCTGGCCCATCAACAAATCTTAAAAGAAATCAACCTATTTTCTTACTGGGTTTGTTCACTTCAAGGTAGTTGTCCTCCAAATACATTTCCTTGGTTTTGGTGCAACTGTTTTTTTCACTAAATTATGTGGAATTGGTTCCCGGGATGATGTCATGAGCCAACCAATCCCATTAACCCTATTTTTTGGTCGAGAACATGAAGGAGGCCAATTTTGGGATCTTTGAAATTCATTAAAATAAAATCAGTGAAATAGATGTCACAGCAATTCTTTTTTAATTTGGTATCAGTAAAACAAGGAGATTTATATTGTTGAAAAGAATTCCTGGGGGTTAGAGGCACTTTAAAACCAATGCTATAATTGGAATGGTTTGAGATATCTAAAAAAACATCAGTTAGTTTCAAGGATGTGGAAAGATCCTTTCAGTAGAAGTTTTACATGGGTACAATTTTATCTGCTTGTTAATTCCTATTTAGCTCTTTTCTTTATTAGTTCATGGTTAGGGTTTAGGTCTAGGGCTTATTTAATTAGGTTTATTGAGATGTGACTTTTATGAACCTTTTATAATCAGATATTTTGTTTTGATTTGGAATTTGTTTTACACATACTAGATTTTACCAGCCATTCAAGAAAAAGAAAGGAAGTATTAAGGTAAGAGTAATTTTCAACCCAAAACCTATTCAGAAATTATTTCTTCACCTAGAATACACAATCATAAATAATAATATCTGAAATGGTGTGAATTCTGAAGTAAAGCCACAACTAAATGATCGAACTTTTTTTCAAAAGTAGCATGTGTTGCACAGAGCATAAGGTGACAAAAAGAGCAAACTGTGTGGAAACAACAGACTTAGCTAAAATGGCTGGAATTAAAATATTTTGTTTTGTTTGTTTTTGTTGTTTTTTTCTTTACCTTACCTGTGATTTCAATACCAATTACCATCTGGATTGTGTTCTTTTAGTGATGATGAAGATATGGTGGTTAAGAATCCTAGTAAAAAATGCAAGAAATCCTGTGAGGCAGTAGAAAATCCAGAAAGAGTAGCCAGGACTGTCTTTGTGGGAAACCTTCCTGTGACATTATCAAGAAAGGTCAGTACCAATATATAATCAGAAGTACAGCCTTTTATTAAAAATCCAGAAATTGTCACCTAACAGGATTTTCATTAAGTGCTGACTATCTCCTAAAAATCTGGGTACCTTGATTCTGAGCTGCCTCCTTTTTCTAAGATAAAGTGTGTTAGTTGAGAACACTTAACTTTGATAAAAATTAATACAAATCACTGCGACATAAAATTTATGGACCGACAACTTTCTTTAAAGCCATTTTTGCATTCCACCAAGACATGTGCTGTTACCTTTTCCCACCAGTTGAGCATTTTTCTAACCTCTACCTGGCGCATGTTTACCAAGCCAACTGACTGCCATACTGCTTTGCATCCACCTCCAAAAGAATTAATTAAAAAGCATTTGAGAGCCTCCATCTTGTGGGAGAGCATTCCCTTACATGTAGCCATGGGGAAGAAGGTCTAAAATTGTTGGCCAATTACTGCATGTAATAGGCCTTCTACTTGATAACTTATTGAGAACCTTGTGAAAGGTTTGGGTACCAACAGTGTGAAACTTATTAAATTGGTAGAATATGGTTTATTGACACTGAGCAAGCTGATGTTTGGTTTCCAGGAAAATCACTTCCTAGATCAAGGAAGTATCAATTCCCATACACTGTATGTGACTTGTTGCAAGCATAGATAAAAAGTTGGAAAGAACTGCTGTGAACTGTTGTCAAAATTTGTAAACTCAGTTAGTCAGGGATATTTTACATTTGCTAGAGAAAAGTAAGGGCTATGGCTTTGGCAACCACAAGAGATGTTCACTTTTAAATTTTTTTTTTAAGAAACTGAAACAGATGTTTGCCATTTATGGTGAAGTGGAGAGTGTTCGATTTCGCTCAGCGGTAGGTGCTTTCTAGTATTTGTGGAATAAATAAATATTCTTTAACACAATGTATAGAACAGAGAGTGTAGAGAACAGAAGATGTACAAGAACATATCTTCCATATTTCTGACAATATATTTTGAATATTTTTGATTCCCATTTTATGCCCTAGTTGATCAAACCAAGTCAAAATGACTATGACAGCAGTCACTTGACTCTGTTTTTCCAGCGGCAGGACTGTTCTCTAAAATTAACACAAAATTTTGTGGAGAACTTCAATAGATGTTTTGTTTAAGAAAACAAGATAACCACCATGACTTAAGAACTTCACCAATTCTCACTAATCACGACATTTGCGACTAAAAGCAAGCTGTAGGACTTGGGGCACTTTGAGGTTTTTAAGCTATAGTTTATTTTAAATTTATTTGAATCACTAAGTGATCAAACTTAGGAGGTAGGTATTTTTTTAACCCTTTAACTCCCAAGATCTGATTGTTAATTCTACCTTCTAGCTGCTACACATTTCCTTATTAATTAATTATGAGAATTTGGTGTTTGATCAAGATAACAACTTCTACCTGATGAGTTTGAGTATTCTTATTACCTATTTGTGGGGTAATGTATGGATATTACAGGGAGAAGTTACACATCAATCACTTGTGGGAGTTGAAGGGTTTTAATTGGCTCTGACAGTTGGGTTAGAGTTTCACTACTGTAGTGCACAAGAGTTGGGCTGGACTTTCACTACTGTAGTGCACAAGAGTTGGGCTGGACTTTCACTACTGTAGTGCACAAGAGTTGGGCTGGACCAATGGAGTGAGACATAATCATTGAGTGGAACTGGTTTAATTTCATTTGTTTGCATCCCTGACATGCTGATATATGTGAAGCTGGTCATCCTTGAAATTTTATTCCACAAATTAAAAGAATAAATGCCAAAAATTATTGAACAGGTTTCCAACACCAATAAGATAATGGAATTTAATTGATGGGTTGAATAATTAATGAGCCTTGTCTCCTTTCCAGTTTTCTGTTGCACTAGTATTTTCTGCAATTGAACACAGCAATTGGTCACCATTTTTCATTTGATTTATTTTCTGCTGCTTAAATTTGTTGTTGTTGTCGTTTTTTGTCTGAAAAACCCTTACAAACCAGGATTTAAACATTTTATTTATTGCCATTGTTTGTTCCATCAAATTGCAGAGTATTTGTTTCAATAGGCAAATAATATTGTGGAATAGCTGATAAGGAAATCTTCTCCTCCACTGGCATGTTTACTTGTCTTTGCTTATATGGTCCAACAATACTTTTGACTGTATTGACATATTCAGGAAGAAACAATTTATTTTCACAGTTTGTTGCCTTATTAAGTGTAACCCTTAATTCAGAAGAATAAAATATTCATCCTAGACAGTTGTTAATAATTAATGAGCTAAGAGTATATTTCAGGTTTTGAGTGAGTAATGTTTTGACAACCTGGCAGTTTTTCAGTAATTGCTGGACAAAAACTGATAAGCTAATACACAAGTTTGTGGGCAGTATTGTCAGAAACATGGAAGATCCTCATGAACAGAACAAGGGAATTTTGAAAGCATTAGAAACTGTTGCAAAGAAAGGTCTTGATTCATTGGATTTGAACATAAATGGCATTCAAAAAATTCCGAGAGGATTAGGTGAACTCAATCTTTCTCATCTGAAATATTTTTATCTACAAGGTAATAACATTTCCTTCTTACCAGATGAGTTTTTTCCCAGTCTTCAAAATCTGGTGTGGCTTGATCTGAGAGACAACAAACTTCATGAAATTCCACAGAACATTGGAGAGCACAGGAATATAAAGACATTGTTGTTAGGGAGAAATCAGCTCAAATTTCTCCCATTGGAGTTAGGAGTCATTAGGACACTAACAGGGCTAAATTTATCAAATAACCCTCTCAAAGAGCCTCCACATAGTGTGGTTGAAAGGGGAGTTCATGCCATTAAGCACTATCTATTGATTAAGCTTGGGGTGAATCCAGAAAACTTTAAATATGATGCAACTGAATCAAAATACCACAGGACAGAGAGTGGATCAGATAGCTCACATACAGTAAATGTGGAAAAGAAAAATAACTGCAGGGATGGCATAGATATCTTACAGATGGCGGATGGTAGCATTCTTGATAATAGTAATCAGGGTACATCAAAGGTAGTTTGCCCAAGGGAAGCCATGGCCTATTATGGGGCACTGCTTGGCAACATTCCAAAATCCTACATCTTTAAACCATGGAAGACAGGAGTCTTTTTCAAAAAAGAAGAGATGGGGATTGATCCCTCACTGAAAAATTGTGACAAAGACAACAATGAAAAACAGTGACTCATTTATATGGTTATTGACCTTATGGAAGACAGACTTACCATGTAATGTGTGTCAACATGGTGCAATGTTCAAAACCCTTTGTGACAAAAATTTATAAAAGTAGGAACTGGTTTGGGTTTTGGCAAGTGCAGTCAAAACTGTCACTAGCTGTGAAGTCAAAAAAGGGTAGACTAAAGTTGTGTTTTTTATTATATTACTGAATGTAAATCAACTGATCTAGAAAATCACATGAATCAAAAAATAAAAAAAAATAGTGTAGTATGGCTGCTCATGTCACTTGTCAAGTGACTGGAAGTGGCTGTAGGTCACCTTGCTGGAGATGATCAGCACTGGCTCATCAGCTGCTTAACACAAATGGTGGTCTTAAGCATTAGACACTGCAGCCTGATTGATGTAAAAAATGTTAAACAACCTTATTTACCTTACCTCTCTATGGCCAAGTTGAGATTTCCTCTGTAAATGGTACTTGGGCAGTAAATTAGCCAGTCATATTACTAGGCTGTTAGGCTTTGCAGTCCTACATCTTTAAACCATGGAAGACAGGAGTCTTTTTCAAAAAAGGAGAGATGGGGATTGATCCCTCACTGAAAAATTGTGACAAAGACAACAATGAAAAACAATGACTCATTTATGTGGTTATTGTCTAATTTTGTGCATGACTGTGAAAGACTACTAAACAACATCAAGTAAAATATTTTCATTTTAATTCTTGAGTTATTTGTCAGTCCTGATGGCTTCTGGGAGATTGTCCAGAGCTTTAAACTTGCAGCTTGAAATGCTCAATGTCCTAAAGTGTGTTTGCTCTGAGCACAAGGGAAGTTGTGATTGCAAATGTCATACTTTGATTTTTGTCTACAATTTTAAATTGGTTATTAAATATTTTCTTCATTTAGATGTTAATAGTAACTCATTAAGTAAGCATGAAATTTGTGGGTGTAATAGGTATGATGGCCAAGAAATGAAGCCCTGTAATGAGTCATATCATAGCATTCTGAACCCTCTCTCTTTGCAGTTTACTGTTTTTTTGTTCACACCTGTCATATCACAGTACAAATTGTTATGAAAAGTACTCTAATTTGCTTCTGATTAAATAATTTTACTTTTGATGCAAATCAAACCAAGCACTCTTTTCTCATACTCATGTTAATTGCCAAAGATGAAAAATTCAATAGTTTTTGAGGAATAAAGGTTCATAACAAATCATCCAGTATTGAATGTCTTTGATGCATGTTCTCAAGACAACAGTTCCTAATATCTCATCCATGTGCATGTTTTTGGGCTAATTTTGTGTTGGGAAGGACTTGAGGAAGATAGTTTGCAATGACATTGAAGGGAATCCTACAGCAAACAAGACAAAGAAAGTGACCAAGGCAACTGAGAGAGATATATGCAAACTAATGCTTTAGAGCTGATTCACACGTGCAAACCTCTAGAAACCTTGTTTCTAAGAAGCATTTCAGTCTCTCCTAAGAAAGAGATGTTAACAGAAACTCTATGATCAAACATGTATATCCTTTTGCAATGTGCTCGAATTTCTTATTGGAGAGCAACTTTGTTTGTCATAAGTACAATTATGAATTAAAGCTTCATGTACATTCTGTACCTTATTAATTGTGCTTCTTTTTTGCAGGCACTTGCCAAACCAGGTCTATCAAGAAAAGTGGCAATGAAAAAGTAATGTTACAAACATGTGTTTAGCACCTGTTTCAAATTAGTCATTTTAGGTGGTATATTGTTTCATCTGTTCCTTTAATTTTGTGTGGCAGTATTTAAAAAAATCTCAAGGAGAAAAATGGCCCATTATTAAAAGGTGAATCATCATGACTTGTATTGGCCTTAAAATGCTTGCAGCAAATTGATTACACTGTCAGTAAATATTGATTAAAGTACAAAATTGGAAATCTGTCCTCAATAACCTCAGTAACAGTACAAGGCAAATATGCAAACTGAGTTCTGCAGAGTGCATGCATTTAATGATCCAATCTTTGATATGTTTCTGCACTTTAGGCTTGACTTCATAAGGTAGTTAGACACAGTTTTTCAGTTATTTCCTTATATTTTCAGCTTGGATTTATGGCTCACATGCTTTTAACTCAAGCTATAAATCCAAGCTGGAAAAACTTGGTCCATAACTTACAGTTGGGACCTCAAACTTGGTTAGTAAGAGGTAAATATTTGAAAATGTTGCCATGTATATCAAATTTATATGGCTCAATACAAATGCAAAACAGTTGTTAGTCTTCTGATTGTCTCCTCTGGAGGAGAAATATAATAGAAACATTTGCCTTACCCTGTTGTGTTGTTTTGAAGTATAGCAACTAAAGGTTGTTATTACATATGTTTTGTAGCATCAATTGTGCACTACCTAATGAAGCGTTCTTTTTTCTTTTACAGAAGAGAGTTTCATTCAGATCGACACAATATCAATGCCTATGTTGTATTCAAAGAGAGGAAGAGTGCAGTCAAATCTTTAAGCAGGTGTTGATTGAAGTTTTTAACTTAACTTTCTCCATCTGTTGTATAATTCTTCAATTTTTTAATTAATAATATCTCATACATGTTTAATGAAATTGAGCAGATAGTATATCACCTGTTAAGTAAGGAATGATGAAGTTGTCTAACAAAACTTGATGTACCAAATTCTGTCTTCTTTTTGCCAACAGTAATGGTTTGGAAGTTGGTGGTTTTCACATCAGAGTTGATATAACTGGAAAAGATATTGAGGTATGGTAGAACTATTGCTTATTACCACTTTGTATTTGTCCAATAGATATAATTATATTCATTATAATCACTGATAATTGTATACCATACTATAGCATGCTCCTACCCACTAGGAGGGCTAAGTTTTTGAAGGAAGACATAAGTTGTAGTCATAAAATGGAATGTTAAATCAAATGTAACCTTGGAAAGAATGATCACCTAAAGAAAACACCAGTAGATAGAATGGTAACCCTATGCCAATTTTTTAACTTTATATACATTCTCTTTTTCTTTTTGGTGTCAGCATGATCACACCAGATCAATATTTGTCGGAAATTTACCTTTTGGTGAGTCATCAAAGTCAAGTTATCTTTTTTGGTCAAGGCTCAATATCAAATACTTGTGTGACATTTAAGTTGTAACTTATCACAGATACTACATAGTATTTAGGTTTAATCTATTAATTAGAGAGATATTAATTTATTTAATCTCTGCCTGGGCAATAAATGCAGTTTGTTTCTGGAACAGGGAAGGCTTTCTAATTTCAAAATGTTTAGACTCCATACAGTGTACATTTATTCGGTGTGCTCTCCCTTTTTCAACACTTTTTTATTTTCTTCCTCCTAACAGTGACACCAGAGGGCCATTTTGTTTAAAATATGAGAAATAATCCCAGGGTTTAGTGTTTCATGTTGATATGTAGTAGCATTTTAAAATGGTATAAAAGTTTTTGTTGAGGCCTTAAGCCACTAGGAAGAATAAATAAAATTAAAAACAAGTCTGAGCTGTAGTTGATCCATGGCTTCACCTAGGTTTATGTCATGTTTTGATTTGGTTCTGTTTTTGTTTTCTATACAATTTTACAAGGTAAATTTTCTCACTGTCCTTTTCTTTTCCCATCTTTTTCATTTTCCTGACACTGAGATAAGATCACAATCCAATACACATTTAAAAAATTAACTGCAATGCAAGTTACACCCCCCCCCCCCAATCCAGTGTTGTACATTCTTAGAAAATCAAGTGCCACATTATTCAGGGGAAGAACAGGTGGGAGTTCAAAGATTTTGTTGCTGATTGTTGCTTAGCAATTTATGTCACCCATAACAAATCAAAGCCAACTTACCTTGGATTTAGCACTGACTGCTTTTCAAAAAACTAGCCTATAGTTACCTTGCCAGAGTCATGTTTCTATTTTTTCAATTTTATTATTATTATTATTATTATTATTATTATTATTATTATAGTTATTTTAATGATCATCATTATGATTATCATCACAAGTATTATTAATATTACCATAATTGTTTCAGAACACTGTTTACAATTACATTTAAAGTACTAACTATGATGAACTATTATCATAGTGATATCAGACTGTAAACCCTTTAACTCCCATGGGTGACCAAGATAGAATTCCTCTTCACAATATTGATACCAAATCAAGGAGATAAGTGGTGAGGACCAAGAAAAGTATCAATTAGGGGATTATTAGTTGATCCAATACCAAATTCTCAGATGTAACATCAGAAGACTTGTAGAGTAGACAGTCAGGAGAATTACTCATGACTTCTTGGGAGTTAAAGGGTTAATTATCTGCCACATCATGAGCCTTGACCTATAGTCTTGTATGCTTTGAGGCATTTTGTAAATTTCATTTGTAGATACTGAGGAGGAACCACTGAGGCAAGCCTTCAGTGAATTTGGTGAAATTGAGGGTGTTCGAATTGTTAGGGACAGCAAAACTGGTGCAGGGAAGGGCTTTGGATTCATCCTCTTTACGGTAAGTAAACCAAGATCAGTCCCACTGTACCTGTCTAGGATACACAACAAACAAAGCCAGCATAATCACAAAATGAACGAGCATTTTGTGTTAAGGTATTTAAGTCAAAGTCCCCTGTACACTTTCACTCAGAATGTTTTTTTGTTTTCTTTTCTTTACAGGAAAGAGACGGAGTGATGTTTGCTTTGAGAAGGCATAAAATAGAATTCCAAGGTCGACAGTTACGCATCTTCCCATCCACAGAAAATCCCCATTTAGGTAAAGTCATGATATTTATATCAAGGCAGAGGATGTGTGTGCCCTCTAGGACTAATTCCTGCATCTTACAGAATCCTCACATCCTTAAGGCTTAGAAAAATTGTTTTTGAGTCTCAGTCTCACACAATTTCCTCTTTGTAACAAAGAAAAGGCTGGGTTTACATATCCAAGTATAGAGCTGGTTGGAGGTTAAATTCAAAAGGCAAATAAATTTATAAAAGGCTGGTAGAAATTGAAATGAATACCCTAAAAAATAGATGAAAAGTAATAAAAAGTAAAAAGTTGTGAAAAGTAACAGCAGCTGGGTTAATTAATTTCCTCTCTTCTTCAGGTCAGTTAAAAAGTGTTAAAAAAGGTAAACCTGTGGCTTATGCATTCAGTGGAATCACCTCCAAGAAATCCACAAGATATGATTGTAGAGGAAAAAAATGCAACAGAGGTCCTGCTAAAAGTTATGCAAACAACAAGAAACAAAGCATAAGAAGTTCAAGAGTCCAAAAAAACGGAAATAAGAAGTTGAAATCATCATGGAATGAAAAAGGAACTGAAAGGGTTCCAAGGTCAAATAACATAAGAAAAAAGAAATATGCAACATTGTAAGACTCTGGGAGTAATGTTTATTTTTTTTGTCTAATGTTCCAGAAGGGGAAATTTTACATTCAGTTACACACAAAAAGAAAAAAAAAACTAAAAGATAGTGGTTGAACATATATCCATAGGAATTATTAAAATTGTACATTCCTAATAATAAAAACTATCAGAATAAAATAGTATTCATTACAACCTACCTATTAATTTCCGTGCAATTCTATCAAAATCACTGGAAAAGTTATCATGCAATAACACCCATTTGCATCAATATTTGTCTAGTACTGATTATTTTCATAAGAAAAAAACAAAGCCAGCAGAAAAAAGCCTGCTCAAGTGTTGCACTCTTATTTCTTTATTGCTTAAGAAAAACAAACTTATTGTGTAGAATCCAGTGGTAGTGATGATGAAAAGCTCGTCCCAAGTACTGCTACAGAAAGCACAAAAAAGTCAACAAAATTTGCTGTCAATGCATGATACAAAGATTAATAGGAGGGTTATAAAAAAACCTGCTTCACCTAGCAGCTAAATATTCATTTCTCAGACATCATCTCAGTGGCAGACATCAGTTGACATACCAGCTGCCAGAAAGGGGCATACTTAATAAATATGGCGCTATAAATTGTGCAACTATTTTTCTTGTTTTTCTCAAGTTTTATTGTTTCATGTCTAACTTAAGTACTCATAATTTGTATTCTATTAATGTTGTTACTTAAGAATGTAAATTTTTATTCACTTAAAGTGAGCAGTAGCCTATTTCTGAAGCAGCTATGCTACCCTCACGAGCCCAAACCAATATTTTCAAATTTCAATTTGCTGATTAATAGGGCTAACTTATAGCAAACTTACAGAACAATAGTGTATGCAACAAAAACATTCTGTTTACTGTGATTTTTTTTCTGGTTCTCATGTATCTGGGCAAATAGGAAGTGAAGAGAAGGGAATAAGTTTCTAAAGAAACTGTAGTGCTATGCACTGGGGGAGTATAACAAGATAATTTTGGTTTTATCAACTGAGTTGATAATGTAAATTGGCCGCCATAAAGTGTTTCAAGGCTGACGTTTTGAGCTTTAGCCCTCCATCAGAACAAATAGAATACAAGAAATATAGGAGGTGAAATATCAGGTTATCAGGGCTGGTGTAGTAAGAAGAGCTAGTATACATCTGTACAGCCAGGGTTAGATTTCCTTCAGCCTATCTCTGTTAAATTTTAATGTTTGTATTGCATTGTTTGGTGCTTAAGCTACAAATATTCTGGGTGCCATGTTTCACCAAAACTGAGATTTCTGAATGTTTTTTATTCTTTCTTAGAATCGTCAGGATCACTTGTAATGCCTAGAACAGACTGTGGACATTATTGACTTAAATATGAAAGTCATCTTAGCATTAATAAACACTACCTGAGCAGTAATGAAAATAAACCCTGAAAAAAGTTAGGCTTGAACTGATTTGAACCCATGACCTCTGCAATACCTAGGCAGTGCTCTACCAACTTAGCTAACAAGCCAACTGGGAGCTGGTCATAATGTTGGTTCCAAATAAACCAGTGAAGTGATGAATAAATGACTGTGAATATATGAACATCATAAATGTGAACTGCAGATAAAGACATGAATATGAAAGTGATCTTCACAGTAATGAAGACTATCTGAGCAGTAGTGAAGAGGTCATGGGTTCAAATCCCATACAGGCCTGAATTTTTTGAGTCCTCATTTTTACAACTGCTCAGGAAGTGTTCATTACTGCAAAGATCCCTTTCCTATTCACGTCTTTTTTCACAGTTCACATGTATGATTTTCATATATTCACAGTCGTTATTGTCTTAATTATCAATTTATAATAGAGATAATGACATGTACTCACAGTAGGAAATCTCTTTGGTTTTGAAGAGTTGGCCTTACCTTAATACAAAATCTCCGCTCTAAAAAGCCATTACTGTAATTGAAATTTCCGGGGCATATATCTACCATAGCAAAAAATTTATGTAAACCGAAAAATAGATTATTATAGTAAATTTTAACTAGATAAACAAGTGTTAGAAAGAGGAGCAACAGCAAAAATTTTTCAAGGAAGTTGCGTCATCGAATCAGCTTAGTCTTCTCAGAGAGGAGGAAACGTCAGAAATCAAGTTTCCCGCGAATTTGAAGCAAGCGGATGTTATTGTGGTACAGGAAGTGGAATTGCACAATGAAATATGTCAACTCCAGCTTCGATTTTCCGTATATGGTAGGGGCTAATTATTCACTGAAGGCCCAGTGGAGGAGGCTCTGAATGAACGGACCAATCAACGCTAAGGACCCCCCATGGCCCCTGGTGAGGAGGGTAAGTCGAGCGTCCTTGTGTTGTCGGCCATCGCAAGTTTTCCTTCAGTTTGAAGTTTTCTTTTTGATTTTTTGGGTGATCGTGGATTCGGATTGCTAAGCCCAGCTTACTGGGGTCTTAGGACCGTACATCAAGATTTGCTATGGTAAGTTTATCAAGCTTGTGTTGTAGTTCCGTTTGAGTGGTAGAATTTTTTGTAAGCCCTTCATTTATTAGATTATAAACTTAAATTTTCTTTGCTTCAATTTAACCTTGGTTTCTAAGCTTTTACTTATTTTACGGGTCTCTTGTCTTCTAAAGGTATCACTGATCTGACTCTAGCTAAGCTGTGAAATTTTCTATTCTTACTAAATTATGGTTTACGATCTTCATGTGCTTTAGTGATACACTTGCTTGAGGCATGGAATTTCATTTATACATACAGTAAGGAAGATTCTTTTCAAAGAAGCTTGAACCTCTCTGTCCAATTGCTCATGCTTTGCACTTGTTTACGATACTATGGAATCTTCAGAGACGGTTTTGAACTGTATGTATTTTCGAAAATATAGATAAACTTCTCAACCTTTTCGATGGTGCTAGACGAGTTGAAGGCGAATAGCACGTTTGCCTTCCTTCTGATCCTTAACTGCTAATGTTTGTCGTGGCAGTTCAACGAACGAATAAGTTTATCTTTAACTTTAGTTGAATCCTACCTTTTGTGATTTGAATTCTAGTTGCTAATACCGAAGAGTAAAGAACGGCGTACGATTTCGTGGTGTTAAGCATGTTCTGTCAATTTTGTAGACTTGGTCAGGTCGTATTGTTTACGAATCTTCATTCGAAGATTTTTAGCATGCTTTACTGCAACCACGTACTCATTGGACACGATTTTAGAGCTATTTAAACTCAACAGACTCTTGTAATTTCAGTAGTGGACATTTTCTTAGTAATGTTTCTTGTTTTCTACGGTAGAAAGTACGAATAACTTTAACTCGTTTGAAGACGTTCTCGTGTGTTGACTTGACAAAAATAACGCCATACTCCTACCATCAGATGATGTTCAGTTGCATTTCCCCTCTTCATAAGTTTGCTTCATTTAGCAGCCTTTGCCATTGATTAAGGCAGTACATTTGCTAACCGCTGGTTTTATGTCAAGTCAACTTTTAAACTCAGTGAATTTGGAATAAGATCATCTATAATTTAAAGCAAATCTTTGCTCACGTCATTTAGTGCTCCAAACCTCGTTTCTTTTCGTTCTTTACCTTTCGACAGGCACAGTCTTCAGAGGAACCTCCATTCTTAACCGTAGGCACTGATGTCAGTGCCAAGTATCGAGGAGCCTTTTGTGAAGCCAACGTGAAGGTCGTGAAGAAGCTTGTCAAATGCAAGGTTTGTGAAAATTGTGATACTTTTCCTGAACACTGGGAACTCGTTTGGATTCTTGCCTTACAGTCGAGGAAGGTAGTGCTTCTTACACTTGTTGTGACTATAGATCATTGCTCTTTTCCTCTGCAGATTACCTTCGCCAAAACAAACACTTCCTTCACGATTAATGATGATTGCGTTAAAGGTCCTTTGAAGGTAAGTTCTCCATCCTATGTTTATTCAACATTCTTGTTTTCATCATGATGATGCGTTAAGGTTATGTTTTTTCCTGAAAGTGGTGTTCTCACACATCTTAACTGTAACTGTGCTTCCCTCTCAAGGTAGGAGCAGTTGTAGAGGCCAAAAATCCCGATGGACAGTACATGGAAGGGATGATAACCAAACTCACCGATGCCAGCATATATACTGTTGGTAAGGAAGCGTTTTTCCTTGTCTAAGTTGATGCAGAAGAGAGGCAAGTTTTACCGTGTTTTTGAAACAAAACAAGGCTTTAATTACGGACATGTTTATTTCTTTTAAGTTTTTGATGATGGTGATGAAAGAACGTTGAGAAGGACTTCTCTGTGTTTGAAAGGAGAACGACATTTTAACGAAAGCGAGGTAGGTGTTGAACGATGGATCTCTGTATTCTTTGGTGAGTGTTTATCAGTATTGCATCACTTATCACCGAGATGTGTGTACACATGTTGTATCTTCATTCTTCCTTACAGACTCTTGATCATCTTCCCCTTACGGATCCAGAGAATTTTGGTACCCCAGTAGTACAGGTAAGTGATTGTACAAGTAAACTTTGAAGGTGTATACTTAAAAAGTTTAGAAAATAATTGAGCTTGGACTGTTTTTGGTGTGAAGATGGGTACATCTATTTACTTATTACATATCCTGTACAAGGTTCTGTCAGGTGTAGAAGATATACTAGTGCACTCTAAAAGGTGGCCAGTGATCACATTTTTGCTGATTCTTGGAAAGGTTCCTCTTACTGAAATTGTACTGAATAGGGATTTATGTGGAATCTTTTAATTTAGTTGTGGTTGGAATTGTGCAGTTTGAGCACTTTTAAAGGACCTGAAAAAATATTACTCACTGTCTTTAAGTCATATTGCTACTCTCAGATGCATAGAAGTGGAGTTTGGAAAAAATGTCATTTGTTGTGCTGCAGAATTAGGCTGAAAATGAACTTTGCAAGTTTTGATGAACTCTGCAAAAGTTATTTTGCCTTTTAATTGAACAAAATGCATTGAACAATTTTAGTGGTCAGGTGATAGAAACAAATTCTTATCCCATAGTTTAAGTGGAAGAAACTTATCAGAATGGATTCTAGATGAGATGATTTTTTGTGCGTGTGTTTCAAGATATATTGATACAAGCTTGATGCTGTGCAAGATATATTTCATAGCCAGTAATTGGCGTTATTGCAGTGTTGACCACTTTGTTGGTCGTCAGCTGTCTTCTCCTAAAAGGAATGATTTTGGCAATTGTGTTTTCATTTTGACATCAGATACATCATTGCATTGAGGGGCAAAAGTTGTGGGTTGGAGTAACATTCATCCATGTGGGGTATTGCTATCATGCTCCCTCACTCTTATTCATAGTTGGTGTAGTGGGTTGGATGTGTGCCCTTTTCTTTATCCATCCTTGCAACTTGTTGCTCTTTTCCTCCAGTCTCTCACTTGCTTCATAATCAATGATGTGGTTGTTTTTGCACATATTGTTTGTCCTGAATGATTTGTTGATCTGTTGAAATTTTTGGCAAGGATATTATTTTGCCTCATTTCATTGTCAATTTATCCAAACCGTCTAGTTTGGGGGGGGGGGGGGATGAATTACCTTTGTTTGCCTATGATAAAAGTTGGTTTCTCTGAAGGGCGCAGAAATATTTTCTTGTTCCTTCTTGAGATATAATGCATTTAAAACATGAACTAAGATACTTTCTTGGAATTATTTCCTTCCTTTGCTAATATTAACTTATATACAGTCCTCTTAAAAAGAGTTGTAATGAAAGTTTAGAGTATGATTTCAGCTGGACCTGATTTGCTTTTTGTTGAAGTTTAGAGTGAAGAGTGTCATGTATTTTGATTTAATCAGTGAAACTTCTCTCATGTGTTATCTTTTTATTTTCTTATAAGTTGTCTTGGTTGAGTTTTAATGTATGTAATAGATAATCTTTTGGTTCAACCTCTTTTGTATCACATGGCATGCACAATTCTTGTTGCATGGCTAAAAAAAATTATTGTGTTTGTTATATATTACTACCCAACCCACCATTGAATCAACATGTTTTAGAAGTGGGTTTGATTACATTATGGAGGCTAGATGTTTTCTCTATCAATGCACCTATGGCATAATTTTGATTGTCATAGCCTTCATTAGTGAAGTTTTGAGGTCTTTTTTGTTTGATTTCAGTTATATGAAGTGACCATGGCCGAGTAAATAGTTCTCTTGTTTTAAAATAATAATTCTTCAATGGATTGTAGCTTCATTGCTTTTTGTTTGTGTCCTTGAAATTGGTATATTAAATGCCAGCTATTTATAAACAAGTTATTCTCGTTTTTTGGGGGGTTAGGGGTTAACGTTACCATAGCTACTGCAGCAGCTCTCAAGAACACCCTTTTTTTTTCTTTTATTGGGTATATCTTGAATGTGACTTCTCTGCTCTCTCCTTTCTCTTCCCCTTCCTCTTCCCCCCTCTTCCCCCCCCCCCCCCCCCCCCCCCCCCCCCCAATTTGTTAACTGTAATGCCAGGTTTACCAATTTAGATCCTTATGCAGTGTCAAAATAATTTGTATAAACTTAGTAGGGCCTCCTAATTTTTGATGAATGTAAGTTTTCTCTAGACCTGTTGGCACAGAGATACTGTGCAAAAAGATGAATATTGCAGATTCCTATTCAGTGATAAATATGCCTCTGCATTTCAGGATGGAAAGAAAAGGAAAAAAAGAAGACTAAGTCAAGCAGCAAGGTAATCAGGCTATTCAGAAATAACAGGTGCTAAATCAGAATTGGGATGCATGGTTACAGTTGTGAGATGACATTCATGGATCGTGACACTACCTATGAAAGCTGTCTTGCCCCATGTTTGCCCACAAATTTATGTAGGGTTACAATTTCCACTCAAGCCTCCTTTGATCAAGGAAAGAGAGGATCAGAATCTTTTTTCTCAAAATGTTTGGCTTGGTTGTACATCACTGGGTCCCACAGTATAGTTGAGAAATGTGACACAGTTACAAGTGTTCATAGATTTCTACTTAGTGTGAGGGTTGCAGTATAGTCATGGCCTCAATTTGGTTTGTCTCAAAATACTCTACTGTGTATTGGAGGCACATGGATGTTTCATCATCAACAGCAGTTTAATTGATTTGCATGTTTGAGTTACAGAATACATATGCAAAAAAGGACATTTGAGGATTTCCTGAAGCCCTTTCCCCCTAACTTAGACTTTGGACATGTTCTTTCCTGTGAAAATAAAGAAAAGGACATGTTTTCTTGCATCCAAATTAAAAAGGAACCTAATTGTCTTATGAATGGTTAGGCTGTTAACCATATAGAGGTTCATGGCCTTTTGGAAATTGCTTGGCAGAATAACTTAGCATCCAATTAACACTGGGGTGAGTTATTTGGTTAACAAAATTTTGTCTGCTTTTATTAGCATGGATGACTCTGAAACTGAACGAGAAGAACAGCCACTTGCTTCTGCAAAGAAGAAATGTTTATTTGATGACAGTATTGTTGGCAAGGTAAGCAAGCTACTTATGGAACCTTAGTTGGTAATAATAATTGGCAACAGAACTTTATATGCTTTTTTTCTTTTACATTAGCTGGTAGTTGTGCAAAGTGGGTCAAAGCGAAGAAGCATGTGGTTTCCAGCTTTGGTAAGTTTATGTAAGGTTTCTTTAGAAAATAAATGCACAAAATTCAATTTATTTGACAATTAGGGAGAGAGATACACCTAAGTCTTTCATATTTTTAAACCATATGTTAAGTTTGAGTAGACAAAGTGTTATCATCCTCAGTTTCAAGTGATTGTTTGCTAAAGGGAATGAGGTATTGTCTCTTAAAAGCTGTCATGGGTGTAGAACATTTTGATCAGCAGAAATTATTCTTTTTGTTTAGGGTGTTAATCCAAGCAAGAATGAGGTGGATTTGATAAAGTCAAAAGATAAATGTCTTGTACGCTCTTTCAAAGATGGAAAGTAGTAAGTTCCTTACCATGGTTAAAATGTACTAATTACTATGAATTTAATAAATGTAACAGTAGCTGTGCTGGTAATGAATAACTTTCTTGAAAGGAAACTTAGACCATCCAATCAGGATGCAGATGGTATCTAAATATGTGGTTTATCATTTTAGAAAGGGGATGGGTTTTAGCTGCTCAGGGAGGGGACTTTAAATTACCAAGTCTGTTTTATTAATTGTGTCCCTCAAATACACTTTTACTGTGTATGGTATTTTGTTTGATGTCAAAACACAAGGAGCAGTTACCTGCAAAAAAAGTTAAGCTCTGTGCTGCTAGAAAGTAGGAGTCATTAAACACTCTATTACCAAAATTAATTGACACAATTAGTTGGAAGGAAGCAGAAGCAACCATTCCACAGCCGCCACAGGCTCCTCTCAACACATGACTGACAGACCCACTGAGTGAGAAAGGTGGGAGGGAAATTAAGAGAAAAAAGTGACACAACAAGTTCAGCAGAAGCCAATGGATTGGTCCTCCATAGATCCCTTGGGTCCCCCTCATTGTCTTGGTTAAGGTTTTGCTTAAAGAACATTTCATCTCAAAGTAGTTGAAATGCAAACATTGGAATGGTAGCACACGCAGAGGACATTTTAATCAACACTCATAGGAAAAAAAAAACTTTTTGAGGTCACTTGTTAGCACAGCAGTTAATCAGTTTTTTTTTAACAGATTCTGTAAAGTTGTAGACATGGAGAACTAAACGTAATGGCTTACACTTAACATATTTGTTGCCAACTCTCCAGTCATGTCATAAATGTCAAAGATGCCAGAGAATTTTCAAAGGATCAAGATCCAATTCATGGTGTTGTGAGAGGTGAAAACAGAAAACTGAAAGCAGGTATGTACACAATCCAAATTCCCAATTTATGAGATATAATTGTTTTTTTTTTAGACAAATCATTTGACATCTAAAGTTACCTCATTACCTTTTCTGTGTGCTAGACATAAGGGTGTTTTTCAGTTGGAGGTAACAGCTGTTTTTTGATTTGTTGTGGCAATCATTTTCTCCTTCAGCTGTGGAAAGAGCACTGACATATTTGGACACTGGAAGAATTCCAGCAATCTGGGAGGAGAATTCTTGTGATGTAATAGTTCATGGAGACAGCGAGGAGGAAACAAAAAGGGTGCAATCTTCAGAGGATGAAAGCAGTGTGGAGGATGATGAAGAGAGGAAAACATTCAGACAAAGGCTATTTGCATTCATGGAAGAAAAGGGTTGGTTCACTTCATTTACACCTTTGCTTTTTCATTCCATGTTCAATTATGTTGTGATAGACTTCAAACTGTGGAAAGTTAAGGGATCATTAGCTCTGAAATCATAGCCAATTCATAGATCACACTACCACAAATCGAATAGGATTATTTTTCCCCATAGAGTCGTGGCTATCATACCTTAAGATATTAATTACATTCACCAGCAATTTTTGTAGATGCACAAATAGTCATCCAGGGTGATTGCACTCCTGGAAATCCATTATATTGGCTCCCCAGTTAGTCTCCTCACAGGTTCTTTCCTTTTTCTGGAGGAAGGGTGAATTCACCTATCAGAGAATTTAGATGCAATTTTAACAGTTCTTGAGTGCCATGCTGAGAACAACTAATCTTGGGAAAAAAATGTACAGCTGATTGGCATATTTTTGTAAATTTTTTTGTGTCTAGTTTTGTTTCTGACACATATGTTATATAGCTGTAGTTGTGGGTTGCTTTTCTGAGGGAACAAAAGCATTTGGGGTTGTGTGGCAATCTCTTTGACTACACCTCCTTACCCCTTGCCTAATTCCATTGATTTGAATAAAAAGAAAAGACTGCTACTTGGTGATGCTTTGTCGGATAAATGCATTTTTCTTTCCTTCTTTTTGAAAAGTGAAAAAGTGCATTCTTAGAATCTCCCTTTCTCCACAAACATTTTGGTCAAAAATTATTGGAAGAACGAATGTTTTTTCCTTTTGTATTGTATTTGTTATCATAATATTAACTTGTTTTGAAAAATTTAAAACAGTGAAACATGTGAATCATAACATGTTTAAAGCCATAAATTATTCTTAAGTTTTACTCTAACAATTGCCTTTAATAACAAATGAAGTAGACTATTTACTGTTCAAACTTTGTTATCACATTACCAACAGGAACACCTATAACTAGACCCCCAGTGTTGGGAAATCAAGATTTGGACCTCTACAAACTTTATAAGATAGTTCAAGAACATGGAGGCATGGAGAAGGTTGGTGGTTGCAAAATTTTCTCATTTTCTATTGTTTTGCAAATGAAGTTACATGTAAGAACTGTTGGTGTTACCCTTTTCTCTGGTTATTGATGTTTTTATATACTTGATTCTTAATTCTACTTGACCTCCAAGTCATGTACCACACATCAGAAGTAACTTCTGAAATTTTTCTAGTAATTTAAAAGAGCCCAAATGTCTCAAACAAGATGAGCGATGCCTATATGGGGTGAGCATTTAATGTACTGTTACAGTAGTATTCTTTTTGTTTAAGTAATTATATTCTGCCATTATAGGTTTCCAATGAGCACAACCTTTGGAGGACAATTTATCGGCAAATGGACATTCCAGTTGTTCCACCAAGTGCATCACACCACATTAAAATGTCATATAAGAAGTAAGGTTATCTTGTTCTCACTCTATCAATTTCCTTTGTTTTGTCAAACTATGTTATTGAAGAATTTATTTTAATGTTTATTTCCCTCTTGCACTGATTAGCTCTGCTGTTTAAGGTTATTTTGCGAAATGGGGAAAACAAATTGACAATAGTTCAAAAAAGTCCAAAAGTTCATCCGCAAAAATTAGAAGGAAAAGTGGACAAAGCAAGCTAGGGAAAAAGAAAACCTTCACTTCTATTTCCTCCATGCAGGCTCTCTTGCCACCATTCCTGTTTTGGCCATTTGATGAGGATTATTATTTCTCAATGTATTGCAGCTAGACACAATGTAAACAAAATATGCAAATGAAGATCACAGTTGAAAGCCCAAGGAAAATGTAAACACTCTGCTTGAGGCCTTTCCAGCTTTGACACCTGTCACTCTTTAGTAAAGGTTCCCTTAAAAAATTCTTTCCACCATATCTCTCATTATTCCAGAGATTTTGTAAATTATCGTCAACAAAGTGAACTCAACTGCTTTCTCTGACTAGAGAGGGGAAAAAATAAATTTTAAAAATCTCAACCAGATTTTATTGACAGTAACTTATATAATTAATAAGAAAGTTGAGAGTTTTCTGAGATCTCATCTTCTCATTTCTTTTTTAGATACCTTTATCCCTTTGAGCAGTATGAAAAAGAAATGCTAAAGTCATTTCAGAAAGATAGTGTTGGTGATAGGAGCAGTAAAGATTCCAAAACTGAAAGTCCGGCAAGTTCCCCAGAGAGCAGCGATGAAAAACATTTGGAATGTCTAGAGCCTTTGCCAGAAATGGATGATGATGAAGGAGACTTAAAGAAGGTGGAATGTAAACAAAGCACCAGGATTAGAGAAATGAAGCGACAGCAGAGTAGAGAGCATGACAATGGTTTGGTAAGTGACTCACAAGCCAAAAGCCCAGAGGAAGATGTTTCAGTTGATGTTGTAAACAGTCCTGAGTCATCATCTGATGTTAGTGAACCACAGTCTGACAGCAAATCTGATATACCTTTGGATGAGGTATCCTTAGAAGTTGGAGATAAAGTGCAAGTTAAGTATGGGAGAGGAAGAAATCACAGACACTATGATGCTAAGGTATGATCTTATAACCCTTGGCTTTTTTATTGTTTTTGTAGTGTATTTTCCATATTCAACAAAGTTTCACACAGAATTATCAATTCTTTTGTTTTGCTTTAATTTGCTTAGGTAATACAAAGGACAGTTGCACATAATTTATTTTATATGCATTGTATTTTTAACTTTTGATTTGAGAGACTGGATGTAAATTTACTTTAAGGCACAATAATCAGTCCCAATTTTCATGCATGCAACAATTTAGCTTAGTGGAGAACTGCCAGTGCTCTTGGTTAGAGAATTGTGCATTACTTTCAAACTGTATTGATGCGAGATGAAAACCAAAAAATCTCCTTTAGATGGTTATGCAGAAAGTGGTTTGGTAATGAAATTTTGGCTAAAAGTTCAAGCTGATTTCTTTGATCAAGCCGTTTTTTAATTAGAGTTGTTAGGACATTGAATACAGCATGGAGACATTTACATATTCTACATTTTACTTTAAAAGATCATCCACATTGACCCCAAAGCTGAAGAAGGTGCAATTTACTGCATTCATTATGCTGGTTGGAATACTAGGTTTGTAAACTTTAATTTTAGGAAGATTTGAACTGATTACTGGAGTGACTGGTAGCTTTAGCAGTTGAGTTTTTTATTCTAAACTCTTCAAACATTGAATCTTTGGGTCATTAGTTGTGGTCACCAAAAAAACTTCCACACAGGGAGAATTGAAAAGTATTTTATAATTCTTAAGAATATCCAAGATGTCTCATAAGCATGTCACTTTGTTTCAGTTAAAAGAGAGCTTATCACTGCCTTTGAATCATAGGAAAGTATATCACAAGTTTTAATGAAATTATTAAATGTTTCCTGGCAAGAATTACCAGGAAGGTAACCATTGTCTCAAAATCAGATAATAAACAAGGTCAAAACAAATGAATACCATGAAATGGAAACAAGTTTTGATTTTTTTTATGTGTAGAGAAGAAATTAAAGTGTACAAAATATTCTGATAACTATGAAATCTTTGATTGGCTCATGCACAGGTGATTAAATCTGAAGATCCATTCTGCATATACTCTGGCAATGGATTCATGTAAAATTGTATTAAACCTTACAATAAAATAAGAGACCACTCAGATGTTGTCTTTTTGGAACCAAAACTAATCTTTTTTTCAACAGAAACAAAATCAGAGCTGTAAAGTTTGGATTTATCAACATATAATGTTTTTCTGAAAATCTTTGCCATTAATTAGCAATCATTATTGTCATTGTAATTAGAAAGAAAAAATTGTGCCACTCATAATCAAATGAAAAAAGTGAAGAAGAGGAGTGAAATAGCAAAACCCTACCAAGGGTGAATTTATCATCATCATCTTTTATTTGCCTTATTTACTCAATACAAAAATTTATTTACAACAGTTATAGCTAGTAGGTGAGGAGACCCAGGAAGCCACTGGGCTTATATGAGAGACTCTTTTATGTTTCCATTGTAGGTATGATGAATGGATTAAGCCTGAGAAGATAGTGGGATGGGGCACAAGACAGACCAGGAATAGGAGTGGCAGTTCAAGCAAGGGGCAAGAATCTACTGGAAAATCCACCCCAAAGCCAATGACAAGACCCACTGCTAAACCTGTTGGTAGAAGGTCATCAAAACCAGGAGCTGCATCAGCCAAGGAAACACCAGCCAAGTACTCAGCAGCATCTAATGGTACCAAGAGTACACTGAAGAGACCTTGTTCACCCTCCACAAGGTCTGGATCACTTTCGCCGTCACTTGGAAAGTCTCCTAAAACCAGTAGGGGAACAAGCCGTACACGGTCAGAAAGGAATTCATTGTCAGAGATATCAAATGGACTAGATGAAGGTTTGGCTTCTACTGTTGATAGAGCAACGAAAAGAGTTTTTGTACATAAGTAATCTGTGGTAAATGTTAAGCTTCATTTTTCAGAAGGGTCTCAAAACCGATCTCCTCTTTTCCCCCCCCTTCCCCCTGGAAAAAATTGAAACAGTTGATTACAAAAAGATAAGGCTAAAAACTAAATGTCATAGGAGGAATAGTGTGCAAGCAATGTTTTAAGTCTTAAGATGGTTGTTTGCACAACTAAAAGAAAAAACTTGTTGCCTCTTTACAAGGAACAGCTGAGTGAAAGTTTTCAAGTGGAAGAAAACTAAATTTACTTCCTTACTTGTGTGACTTTGCTATTATAGATAACCTTTATGGGTTAGTGAGCATTAACTCCATAATCTCAACCCAGTTTACTGATATTGTAGTTAGTAGTTTAGTGACATTCATTAAATTAAATATTTACAAAGCTCAAGTGAAGAAAGCTTACATAACCAGTCATCTATGCTTAGTTCAAACTTTTCATGTACTTATCTTACAGACCTAGTCAGGTTGACCCAATAATTAAATTCACTGACTTCCAGCTTAATAAGTCAAACTTAACCTAAGTGAAAGTTAAGGATTGTGGACCAAAAACTAAATTATACTAACTTATGAGTTGCACTTGGCACAAGCAGCTTTACCTTTGTATTGAAATAGCTCCACTCTCCAACTTTTTATGGACAGTTCTTGAACTTCTAAAATTCTCGTGCCAACCCAAATAAGATATGTGGAGCTAAGTGTATTCAAATGTTTATCTTGTTGTCCTCTTTACAGAAAAAATTAGGTGGGTTACATTTCAGTACATGAAAAGTTAGAGGTTTAACTCAGGGTGGATGATGACCTGTGACTTTCTCAGCTGAAAATCCTTGTCTAATCTTTTGAATCTCTCAGTCTTTTCTTTAAGAACACCATTTACTCCTACTCTAAGGCATACATTTCTGACTAAGTAAAGTTATAGCTACATCCCTTAACAATTTTCTGTCATGAGTGAACTGCCAGTGGAAAGTTTTGTTTCAAAGCCTAGATTTGTTCAGAAAGTTGGAGAAAATAGTGCAATAGTGTCAATTAATTATGCTATACTTCTTTGCTTTAGTGAAAAGTCCATTGTCAAGAAGAAGGCAAAAGTCAAGCACACCAGAACCCTCTTCAACTGGTAACCACCATGTTGTATCATACTGCTAATCGGATTAAAACCAGTCTTTTCAAATCTTAATTTCAATCTTTTATTATCCTCTTGTCCATACTTGAAACTTTTTTTAAATTCAAAAAGTTCTTTGGAAATAGTAACATCACAAAGTGACACATTTCTCTCAAGAGGAAATGCTAGGTGCCCAAAATCCTATCAACAGATGATAAATGCCAAGACACTCCCTTGCGGATAAACTTCAGAATTGCACTTACTGTAGAAATAAACTAACCTTGAGAGTAATTTTTCTCGTGGCTTTCTTAATAATTGTCTTGCTTATCAGGCATTCCAGGTAAACTATTTGACTTATACATTTGCTTTATTTAAACAGAACAACAGAGCAAAACTGCAGATGTATCCAATCAAGTTCAGCCAATCCCTGAAACAATACCCGAAGAAACAGAAAACAGATCTCTGGAGGAAAAGGATACTGCTGTTACCAATAATGAATCTATGGTTGATCCAAAAATGGACACCGTTTGTTTCGAAAATGGAGTGCCAAGTGAAATGCAGTCTAATGCAGAACAAGAATCTGAGCACATCTCCAGTAATTCTAATGGGAGAAGGAAAGACAAAAATAAAAGAACTATAAATGGTTTAATAAAAGGTGTTTCATCTCTCGAAAGAGTGAACAAAGACTCCAAAGACGAAACAGAAACAGTGACTGAAGCTAAGAAGATAAAACTAGAAAATGAGAAAAACTCACAAAGCAAAGAGGTGGAAGACACCTTGAGGGTTGACACTTTAGCAAAGATGCCAAATGTTCCTCCTCAAACACAGGGTACTGCGACTACAATGGAAACAGTTTCGGAGTCTTCCTCAGAGGACATAAAGCAAGAGTGCACCAATGAATCTGCCTCTTCGGAGTCCAGTCACTTTGATGATGTTAGGACATTTGATGGGCCAGTTGATCATTCTCTACACAGAGATACAAATGAAAAGGCTCATGAACTTAACAGTAAGGAAAAAGAAATTAAATCTGAAAAGAAAAATTCTGAACAACATCACAGGAAACATAAAAAAAGGAAGGAAAGGAAGAAAAATCGGCATGCATCTGGTAATGACAGCACAGGAAGTGATGCTCCTGGGAGCCCAGGATATAGCCACTCACAAGGTTCATTTTCATCTCCCAGACGTCCTAGAATATGTTTTGACATGGATTTAGGTAAGACTTGAACAGAAGATAAGTCAGTCACCATTGTGCTTTACTTTGGGTGTTTTCTCTCTGTCTTAAAGTTATTCTTTCCTTAATTTTTCAGAGCAAATTAAAGCAAAGGAAGATGGTGGAGAACGTATCAGACTCCTTCAAGACAAAATTAACGAAATGAGGAAAATTTATAGTTCTCTTAAAGCTGAGGTTGCTAACATTGACAGAAAACGGAAAAGGCTAAAAAAGAAAAGAGGTATAGTCGATATCATCATTCACTTTTTACTATCCACATGGTATGGAAATTACTTTGCACTGTTTAGACTTTGTTCTGCATGAAACATCATCCATTTTAAGTTGCTGTTGATGTTAGATATACAGCCACAAGTCAGCTGAATTTAAACAACTGCTGAATCCCTGAAAGATGAAGTGAACCCAGTGTGGGTGGATGATTGGAACCATGAAAGTCGAGGGTGGGGTGGGGGGCTAAATCGAGTTACTCTGAAAAATAACTGAGGTAAGAACTCATATTAGACTTGTGTAGCATGAGTGAGTCCCACTCATCCTCTCCATTTGTGACCAGTTCTTTTGCATCATTGCCAGCATCTAACCTCTGCAAAACATAGGCAAAAAATGCAGCCAATTTCAGCAGGCTATATTGGAATCTACACCAACAACATCTGTTGTGTAGGAGTAGTTATGATGTCATACCTACGAAAAAAGGCTTATGTCTGTCTAAAGCAAGTGTGTGGGTAGGAGCTGCAGAGCTGGAGAAAAGAAATAGATTTGTAGTTTCTGGGCCTTCTTTCCTACTTCCAGGCACCTATGTTCAACCCCATAGCTCCTATTTTACTTGGGTTCTGAATGGTGATGCAGAGGCAGTAGGATTGTAAACAGACAGTAGAGGTGACATGGTTGCCACTGATTAGGACTTATTCAAGGAAAACAATTTCCTTCCCAATCAGGGAATTGCACTTTGATCAGGGGAAAAGCTGCATCTTTGATAGTAACTGTGAACCCCTTAATCCTGACCAGGCCCTCTTCATGATGGAAGGTGCTGACACTTTTCACTGTTTGCCACAGTTGGTGTTGATTCCAGGCATTCAGGTTCAGGACCAATTTTTTGCCTTATAATATGTGTTTGTATTTCAGAAGCAGTGGGAGTTGAACAGGCTCAGGATGTAAATAAGTCAATGCCATCATCATCAGCATCACATGCAGTCCCATCTCCAGCCATACCACCTGTAGAATGTAGATAACAAGGGAATTTCATTGTTGGTATTTTTCCTTGATTACTTGTCATCCTCTCTTCTATGATAGAATTTCAACGAAGTGCATTAACTTGTAATTCGTTTTAGAAGTGTCTGTACCAACAAAATCAAAGATGTCGCTTATTAGTGAGTAGAGCCTCTAAGAGCATGGTGGAAGTTGGTATCATTTTGACATTGTTGTTACCAGTGCATCCATGGTTTTCTCTCTGGTGAATAACTTTCTTTTTTTAGAACCAATGAGTAAGTGTAGACATCCAAATTATAACACCCCAGATAGAGCATTGTGATACAACCACCTTCATCCCTTTCCCCCTCCATCTGGGGAAGTAAACCTGATATATTTACATCAATAGGAATTATGAGACTTGAAATCAAGCAATCTTATTAGGATCAATATCAGTATTTAGGCAACTGCCCCCCTATACCTCCCCCAACTCAACAACAATTAATTGATAACAAGTTTGGGTTAATGTTGGATTAGGGGAGGGGTAGGTGGGCAGTTGCCCAGATACTGATATTGATCCTCTTATTTAATATGGATTTTCAATAAATATTCTTAACTATCAAACAAGATAAGTTGATAACGGTTGATCATTATAATTGTTTTACATGCACATGTAATGATGATGATGACAACCTGCTAAACTCACCTTTTTATTTGTACAATACTTCAATGTCTCTGGTGCCCTCAACCTGTGGACATTTTGAATGATGTAAACTTCATGTGCAGTTGTAGACATATAGAGATATTAAAGTATTCCAAATAAGAGTTTTGATTATAATGCACTCCTGTATTTGAATTAACGTGCGTTTATTTTAACTCCGAAGTCGTCGACAAAATCCAGTCCTCTTTTCGTTGATAATCAGTTCATCCTGCTACTTAACACTTTATTTGAGATGGCCCTTACCAAGTGGTTTTCTAATTACTAAATATTAATTTCAATTCAGGTGCAATATTTTTTTTCATCTTAATATCTCTGCCGCAGTAATTTTTAAGGGCAGCGGCTTAACTTTTGAAAACCGTTTGCCTACTTCTGAGAGGTGGAGAGTGAGTCTTGTTTTTATCTCAAGAATATGATATTTTTGGAATTGGAAAGGTCACTTTAGTTTTGCGTGTTGAAAGATATCTTTTGCCTTGTGGGAAGTGGTCATGAGATTGTGGACTGCTCAAAGAGGGAGTGACAATAATCAAACACTCTTCATAATAGTTACTTTTAGATTGTGTGTAAGTAATCATTATGTCTTATAATAACTTGCAAAAAAATATCAGTTAGGTACATATATTATGGAGATGTATTTATGAAGGCCTTTAGTGTGTTATTTTACATTTCGAATTACCACGGGCTTCTTCACGCACAAAAAAAGTGTATGAAGCAAAGAAATAGTATTTAAACTTTTTCAAGTTGTTTGGGAAATTAAGTTTATTGAATTAATGTTTCTGTATGTAAAAATTGTATATTTTGTTTATTTTTGGTTATTTTATTGTTAACAACTCTGATTATGTCGGTTTTTAACTGATTTAATACATGTTTTTATTTGTCAGTTATCAAGCAGATGAATAAGATTTAACCATTTAAGTTACGTCTTTTTTTTCTTCTCTTTGGAAGACAAAGAACCAGTTCTTACCTTCGATTTTCCCGTTTCATATTTTTCGTTGGATATACTAAAGGTCTTCTAAAGCATTTGTTCTTCTTTTCTTTTTTTTTTTTGGCACTTAGTGCTCATCATAAGTTTTAGGTCCCTTTTTTATTGTTTTCTTGTTACGATCCTTCGAGTCCCCTCATGTTTCTGTCCGCCCAAACAGGATACTCGATTTTAAGAAAAATCGGCTGATGAGTATTGATTCTAAGCAACTTGTAGTTATTGAAATTAAAAAATTGGTTTCTCGATAAACTACAATTACTTTGGGGAGTAAATGTCAGAACGAGTAGATAAAACGTTTTTAACATGCCTCTTTCGCATTCTTTCACTCAATGCTTCCATTTTGTAGAACCAAGTGCTTGCTTAGTTTGTTGGTATCAGGCAGTGGATAAAGTAGTAAATGTGTTTGTAACACTTTTTAGCTTTTTATTTTCTGATGTGTTTTAACAGTACCTTTCTCTAATTTATTCTGTCAAGATTGTGAATAAAGACTTCCTTGATGTGGAAGTGATGGGCATATTCTAGTTGTATGAAGTCTCTAGCTATGGAGGGAAATATCATGTCTCTTTGAGTATGCAGATATGTACTGAAAGGTAGATACGGAATTATTGAAAGGCGAAAAAAAGGTGATATAAAGGTGTACGCTATCGACCTGTTACCAAGACTGGGTGAAAAGGAGGTATCTACAGCAAGGAGAATCTCACACACCCCTCCATCAAACCCTCTAAGCTTTTAGTTTGAACCGACTCACGAGCTTGAACTACAGGCGTTCAATCGTTGTTTGAATAAAATTTCTTCAATGCTTATACAAAATAAAGTTTAATTTAAAAGTTTGGAAATGAAAATCGAGTAAACCGAAATCAATTACCTAGACCATTTTCAAGCTAGGAGATCGTAGTTTTTCCTTTCTGCGCGGTTTTTGCCACTTGTATTTTCCACCGCAGATGGACTAGGCTAGCAAAATGAATGCTGGTATGTAAAGGGACAAAACCAATATCATGTCACGATTCTCGCTGAAATCGCTTTACAGTGACTCATCTCAAAGAGAACGTGCAACCGTAAGGTGAACGCAATGCGAGGGCGGAGTTAATGTAGAAATCGTTTGGGTCTCTTCTCGCAGTAACGATTGTCTCGATGATGTGAGGGGTACGATCAGAGAACAGCGAACTAAAGACTTCTCGCTACTGTCTCTCATTTTAAATTTTAGTGCCACTGGTATCACGCGACAGCATCAAATTAATAAAGGGGTAAGTTTCTAAAGAAACTGTGGTGCTGCGTCAGTGGGAGAGTATAGCAAGTAATTTAGTGTTCACAACTGAGTTGAAAACGTAAATTAGCCACCACAAAGGGTAAAAAAAACTGACTTTTCGAGCGTTAGCCCTTCAGAGCGATACGAAGGGCTAACGCTCGAAACGTCAGCTTTTTTACCCTTCACGGCGGCTAATTTACGTTTTCAACTCAGTTGTTAGCATCAAATTAAGCTGTGCGAGGCTTTTACTTGTTCTTCTGTCCAAGCTGAGAAGCTACGCGAGAGTTACACGGCGGCTTGGAACGAGAGGGAATAAAAAGAGCAAAGAAAAGGAGGGGTCTCTATTCCCCCCTTAGAGTCGCCTGCCTTCCTCCTAGCCCTAGTTTACACTCATTCTCCTGTGCATTCTTCAATTATCATTTTTTTCCTCCTTGTTCTTTTTTTCGCTCAGGGATAGGGTTGGGGTTTTATTCAGAAATAAAGTGAAACAAGCTGTCACCATTTGAATCTAATTTTGCTTCCACCACTCAACCGGACATAAGAATGATGATACAAGGCCGTATACAAGACTTGCTTTTCATCAAAAGACGAGTTAATTTAACGAGCTTCTCTACACGAAACCTTTTATTTATTTCCCGAAAATTTCATTTTCCACGCCGCGAAGTGCAAATGGCAGTAATTGCTTGAAGCCACGACCTGCGCGCGTGCGCAGCAGGTCTACACGCCGACGCGCGTACTTTTAAGTTCCCGCCAAATACAATAGGAGGCGAAGTAAGGAAATAATTCTTCTTTGACGTTTCAGACTTCAGCATGGCTGACTGCAGGTCAAATCACTGCAGAGAAAAGCAAAGAAAAGAAAATTTTCAACGAAAAGAATCGGTGAGTCTGAAAAGCCCTGAAAAGTCCGCTCCTATATTTCATTTGAGAAATATTTGTCCTGTCTAATAGTCGAATTTATTGGAGTGTTCTGTTTCTTTATTGTAAAAGCAGAAACACAAGTTGGTCGATAAAGCAATTCCAAACATTGCAAACGCCATTAGAACGGTTGTTGATGTTAGTGAGAACGAGGATTTCAAAGCTAACTGTTTCAACCTTTTAAAGGTAAAAAAGGCTATATGCTTTAGTATCGCACTTTGTAACTGAAGACTTTTTAAATTGATCCATGATCAATTCAACCTCGCCTTGAAACTGAGCTGGTTTGTTTCGTATGAGCTTTTTCCAGCAGCTTCATTTTCCAGGTAGGAAATGAGAACGAATTCAAAGACGTTATGACTGAACGATTGTGGAATATTGCGACCTCCAGACTGGATGTGAAACAACATGACGGCAGAGGCCAGGTAAAAGACAAAATTAAAAGTCTTTCATTCAGTCCTTCAACTCTACGAATGTTTTACTAATATATTTTTGAACCAGATAGTACCACATGTGAAAGTCGTTGAAGATGAAACAGAAGAGGTAGGTTGGATATTCCAAAATTTAGTCGGTTATCTAGACAAATTAAATCGTGGGGAAGTATTCATGACACCAAATGCCTTAGGTATGGTAATATCAATAATAATGATGATGATGATAATATCCATTCACTTATTGAAATCCATTCGCTTATTGAAATTGAGGAAACCAATCCCAGTGAAGAACTAAGTGGGTCCTGTTTTGATGATTTATCTGGAAAGATATCAATTTACGAAGATTTCAAAAGCAAAGAGAACTGCTTTACAGGAGGTGAAAGAGGCAAAACAGGACCAAGCACTTGGGACAAGGACAACAATTCTTCATTTGAAATGTTGGCGGATATGCAGTGGAATTAATGAGAAAAGGAAAGCCAGACAAGCCCATAAAGGTACACTGTACTCAACGTACCTTTATATTTAAAGGACAATGCACAGAAGTCAACGACACTTCAGAGCGAAATAAGGGCTTTCTCTCTGACGAACGGCTTACACTTGAAACGTAAGCTTGGAAACCCTTTTACGGTGGCCAATTTATGTTATAACTCGTTACTAAACCTAAATTACCCTGTTATACTCTTCCACGGATGCAGCACCACAGCCTTTTTAGAAACTTACCCTTTTATTCACTTGTGCACCAAGTTGGTTGTTATGTGGCAAAACATAAAATTGAAGCAGCACCACTGTGTTGACTTGTAGCTCAGGTTTGTCTCAAACTTCATTCATAAGATATTGGGTTGACATATAGTGCAAGCACTTGGTACATAACACTTTTTTTCTTTTTTTTTCCTTGAGAGAGGTAAAATGGCAAATGTCCTAAGTGGCAGGGCACAATTTCACAAAGCATTCACAACAATTGTGATGTCTGAGAGATTAGAGCCATTCATTATCTCCTTTGTGGATTGAACTCTATGTAAAAATGCACTAGATCAGTTAAGTCAAGACCATTTTACATGTTCTGTCTGTGTATTTATTTTAAAAAAATTGACTAACCCATCCACTCTAAGTTACAAGAAATCCTCACTGGTTAGGACAGCAGGAGTAATCAAAGAGGCAGTTCTTGTGCCAGTTACTCAAAGCTACAAGTTCTCAAATTCTCCACTGTCCTATCTATCTTCACCTATTGACTTGATACTTTGGCAAAACTTTTCATTCTTCAACATTTTGCTTTTTTTCTAAAAAAAAATTTATTTCAAACTAAATTCTGTTTGGAAAAAACACAATAAAAAGGTTCCAACAGCAACTTCATAACCAGTTCAATCAATCAGAAAGTAATCAAACAAGAAATATAAATTAACTGCTTCATCCCAAAAACAAATCACAGGTACGTGATTGCCAAAAAAACAACAGATAAATGTCCTTCTCTTTTACTTAATATATTCTAGTCATATTGGGATAAGGGCCAGACTTGATTTCCTCTAAGATAATTCGTGCCATTATTCCATATTAAAAAAAATTACAATTGAAGTAATATAAATTACTGGTTTTGATTTTGATGAAAGAGTTCTGTCTCATCTTTACTTAATTAAAGATACTATGAGTAATTCTGTTGCTCTACGTTCAACAGTTTAAAGCCAAGGCTAGTTCTTCAGAAAACAGCATCAACACTTGTCACTAATGAGAGAGTTTTGAACAGTATTTTCAATCTCATAGTACTTGGCCCACTCCTGTTATTTTTGACATTACACCTAGAAATATTCCAGCAGCACATCCCAAGACAGTAAGGAGATTTAAATGGCCATACATCATATCTCTTATTAAAAGCCCTACTTTTCGTGAAGAAATTTTATTTTGTGTTCTTGTTGTGTACCTCTGGACCTCTTGTCTCAGACTTTGTAAACCTTCATCCTGATGACAAGGAAGTAATTGTGTCAAAACATTAATTTTCATGAGGAGATTTTAATTCTGTTAGACAAGAGAAGCCCTTGGGCATAGAAAATTAGGATTAAGGTAACAAACCTATGGCATCAAAGAACCATAGAAATACATTGTTCAAGCTGATTTCAACAATATATGAAAATAAATAGTTTGCGCATGGAAAGGTGAAAGATTTATTGTCACCATTAGCAAAACCCAACAGAAAAAATTGTGCAAAACTAAAATCAGACGAGGCAGATTTCTCTTGCAAAAAAAAAAAAAAATTTCAAGCTACTTTACTGTGACCCCAACAAGCCTTTTGCATAACAGTGGATCACAGAGCCATTTAAAAGGCATTATTGAAAAATGCACCTACCTGAATAAAGGATGAACATCTATCCATTATAAGTGGAACTACTTCAGTTAAAAGTTCTACCACATATGGCTTCACTAGTGGGCAGAGCAAAGAAGGATTTATACCAGCTCCAGATAAAAGCTGCCCTTCTGAGGAGATCAATAAAGAATGAAGCTCTGCGGTAATAAGGTGATCAACTGTCTCTGACTGTAAAATTCTCTGTAGCTGCCCTTCAATGTTTAGACGAATTATTTGTTGATTTAGTTTTTGGGCACTGTATAATTCAAGAAATGTCCTCTCAAAATAGGTGTTGATGACTGAACTCTTCACACTTTCAAAAATAACTTGATAGTGATGAAAAACAATCCTGATGAGAGGAAAAAGATTTTCTGTCATTCCCTGAAGAACTATAAGGGAGTCGTAGATAAATTATGCAAATGTTCAGAACATGATGCCTTGTACAACAAAAGATTGATTTGAATGAGATGTATTGATTTTCAAGGTATACACAAAATTGCTTATTAAGTTACACATTCAACATGAGACTTGTTGCTCACAAAGATATTCAATTTGATTGTTACTGCAAAAGGGAATCTTAGCAAAATGAGAAACTGGAAACTATGTGTAGATACAGGGCACATAGTTTTAATTAAGACCAGAAGTAATAAAAAGTTTGCAGCTTGTCACACATCTGCCAAACACTGGTTGCCAAATAGGCAATTTAAGCTAAAAATTTGGCAGCCAAAATTTTTTTCACTCACCCTTATCACCATAATGGTGGCACCTTAGAATACTCAAGGTAATGCCACAATGTGAGGCTGGATTTGGAAAATTGACACTCATCCTCCGGAATCAACAAATTTAAAGATGAAAACGGTTTCTTCTCATATGAAATGATACCAATTTTGGAGGTTGTTGCCACTTATAACTTGAATGAATTATAATTCTCTACCAGAAATTGGGAAAAATAGGGTTCCCACAAAGCTTTGGTCCATTTATGGACTGATCAAGGCCAGACCATGATGTATTAATTAGGAATAGTCCACACAAAGTACCTCAAACAAATCAATTTGTAAATAAGAAGATTCAACTGAGATCAACTAATTCAACTAATCACCTAAAAGGTGAAAAAAAAATGCAAGATCAGAGCCAGACAGTAACATTAAATATCACCCCAACTACACTCACTTGAATTCGTTTTTGTTGAAAATAAAAAGATAAACAATAAAAAACACAAATTAATTAACAAAAACTAGTTTCCTGTAGTAACTGACCATAGTTTGTATCAGTCTCTAACATATATAACTAGTACAGTTGCTAACAAGAGAAAAAACTGTCAAATTTTAGGCTCAAAGTTGCCATAGTGCTATTATGTTTGTATGCATTTCAAATAACTGAATCTTACCCACTTCCAAGGATACCTGGAACTTTCTTAAAAAATAGAATCACTGCCACATAATTGATACAGCCTCCTGTAAAACCAAATGTGCCACAAGAGAAAAGGTATTGTGCTACATCATGCCACTCACTCTCAGTAGACCTTGGATAAGACGGGAGTGATAAAGAAAACAATCCAATGATACTCAAATTTAGACAGATTAAGATACAAGCCACACCAGTGCATGATTTCCAGTGGAAAAAGACATAAAATAGAAGAGGAAGTCTCTTTTGTGTTGCTGCATCTTGTCTCTGAAGAATTGGGTCGTGAGACAGCATAACACTGGCATTTATCTGTCAAGAGATCAAGCATTCTCAATCATTACAATACTTAGATGTCATGTCTAATCAGCAGTACATGAAATGCCTGTAAAATAAATTAAATTACAGTCAAGGCCTGAGTTATCATCATAAAACATCACTAATACAACAATAGATGGTGTGAAGGAGTGAATGGACGCTGAATGAGGCATTAGTCAAGTTATCTGAATTAATGATACCTGGGAGTGATGTTTTCACAAGAAAAAGAATATCTACCTATCATAAAATAGTTTTTCCTAGAGTAGAACAGAGAGAGCTTCTTCTGTGATTCGAATACCTCAAATGTCAATCTAGTTAACATCTACATAGTGTCGTAAAGAGGAACTGAAAGTCACATGCTTACATGAATATTATGTCAGCTGATCACTAAGGACGTCTCAATAGGGAATATATTAACTAGCTGTACTATGACAATTATCATACCTTAGTGATTAAAAAAACCCCCTAATCATCAAGAAGAATACTTCATTTCGAGATAAGGATCTTGAATACTAGTCTCTCTGCTACTTAATAAAGAGGTCTGCTTCAAGACAATGTCCTACCTCATCCACTCTACTTGAAGCTGTTTCACCCACCGACGTCAGCTCTGTTCTTTCCGCGTATAGACTATCTAGAAACGTTCCATAACCTTTTTGTGACATCACACACTAGCATCTGACACATATGCAGCCCTTACAACAAGTTTTTCTATTTTCATTGAAGAAGCGAAAATATAGCTGACTCGCATCGCCATAGTGAGCTTTTTTAAGACCCAGTCCCAACCGTGATTTTCTACTTGTTAATTTTAGGTAGGCCTGGGAACTGTGGTTCTCTCTCACTGGTAACCGATCGAGTCGCCAAAGTCATGTCGCTCGGCACCTGTGACATGTCGTCCGAAATTTTTAGTCATGTCGCTCGAAACAAAAACTCAAGCCCCGACTAGCGACTAGGAACCAGTGGCTTAAATACTTTGGTAAAATTCGACAGCGACAAGAGAAGACAGACAGGTTGGAGATGGTTTGCTTATGTGAGGAGCCTGTCAGGTAACCTTTCGAGTCACCCGAAAGTCATCTCGCCCGGAGTCATATCGCCCAGAACCTGAGTCATGTGGCCCGGAATGTTAGTCATATCACCCGAAATAAAAGGTAAAGTTGCCCGATTTTTTTTATCAATTGAAAAATCATCAAAGTGGCTTAGTTTAAGAAACCTCTGAAGGTACCGATAGATCGAAATACCCTTTTGGTGTATACAATTATGTTACCAATCCTTCCGTCAATAATGAAATGTCACTGTGAATGCTACCTGATTCAAACGTTCAACGGAAATAACTAGCCAATAAAAACACCGTTTATTTATTCAACCGTAAGAGAAGGACTTAACGGTACCACTTATTGCTTATTTACAGCCTGTGAGTCTGATCTTTTACGTATTTATTTTTTCAGGCGAAACAACTAAAATTTCGGGTGACATGACTCAGGTTCCTGGCGAGATGATTTCCAGGCGACTTGACCGGTTACCAACCTTCCGATGATACTTAATATATAAAAGCTGGCCAATTATTTAACTGAGTAAAAAAAAATATCGCTTGATTGATTTTCACACCCCTGACGTTTCAAGGAGAATTGTGTAATAGCCAGCAGAGTCTTAAACGTTAGCCAAAAAATGTGCTAAAAACGACATTTCAGCTCACAAGAAGCATTTAAGGCGGAATTTTACTCTTTGTTCGACGGGAGTCCTTTCTAGAATTTTTGGCTTAGATGTACCATCTGGTTCTCCAAACCCTTAACCTATTTCAGACCAAAACTGATTGACATTGTCCGCGCCAGTTCCCAGACCTAGTGTCAGTGGGCATACATCATTCAAAATTAGTAAATTCACTAGTAATATGTAGCTTGAAGGTATATTCTGGCTACCTCTCTATCATTGAAGACACAAATACGCCGATAAGCACTCGTAATTCTCTTGAAAAGGACCAAGTCTGTAAGCATATTACCAAAACAGCTGGTAAAAGTACACCCCATCGGAACGGATTACAAAGTGGGTCATGAGGGATGTCCAAGTCCCCAGAGATATCGGCTCCTTTGGTATGTAAATAGTTTACACAACTAACATAAAATATGTTGATTAATGCAAAATTTATATTCAAGAGAATCTTGGTCGCGTAAAAACATTTGATGATTGAAATTCCATTCCAACGTTAAAAGATCCGTCGCCTAGGGTCATTGTTAAGCTGGGAGTTTAACTTTTCTTTTCATAATTCGCTCCTGTGTTGGTTGTAGGGAATCAGGCAGAAAGATATCTTCGTCTTATAGAGTATGCTGAAGTCAGGACATTTCCTCATTTAGCCAGCATGTGTTGGAATTATTTGCCTGTGGGGGCGTAAAAGCTCTATCTTCATCTTCGACGAAGACTGACCAAAAATGGATTGTAAGTTCAGCTTTTTTCGTCATTTTCCCTTATTCCTTCCTGAAGTCAAACAGAAGGATTCTTAAGTATGAGAGGGTTATTCCAATGACGCTTTTCGTGTCATCGTAGAGTTGTAGTGTGCACGGTCAAAAATAATTCAACTAAATCGACAACAAACAACACGAACGTAGCATACTATTTTGTATGGTTTTATGTTCTCTCAACCAGCGCGCAAGCGAGTGAGTTTTAACTACATACTATTTCAGAGCAGGGAATAACAGTTTCATGGTCCGTATCGAATGCTATTTTACTGTAGGGATGGATCGCCGTAATATTGTTTGAGTCAGTAACGGCGGTAGAACTTTGTAGCTTTGAGAAAAGTTTGTTAAAGTAACTGAGTACATTTCTAATTCATTTATAATGATGCAGTACCGACTTGTATAAAGAAGTAGATCCAGTCCGTAGTTGGTGAAAATTTGTGAGAGTCAAGCAGTTAGAAAGTTCTAATTCAACTTGTAATCAGAGAATATCCTTTCGTGCATTCTACGCCCGCTTAAAAGTGAACAAAATCAGAACCTGTTGAATGTGAATCATCTAAGTGATGTAAAATGGGTTGAGACTTTTAATGTTGAATTATACTTGATAATCTGCAAAATTTGGTTCGGTGTAGGTAGTAAGGAAAGCCCAGGTTTTTAGAATAGAATAGAATAGAACAGAACTGGCTCGATGCAGTTGATTGACTTGATTGCTGATGCTTTTGAACAGAAGTCTAAGAATTGAGACGATTCGTACACTGATTAGTTAATGAATGGAGGAAATCAAATGTTCTTGGATAACAAAATCATCTCACTTTTTGTAAATTGCTTCATTTCCCGAGAAGAGTGCTTTATTCTGACTTAAAAAGCGAAGAAGATACGAGACTTTAATCGAAGTAGTGGCTTAGAATAATCTTGCTGTCGTTCTTTGTTGTGTAAATTCTTTGCAAGTCAGTCAACCGGACAGCGAGACGTCGATCAATTCATTCTGCTTAATCTTTGAGAAGCTTTCTTTGATAAACTTAAACTACTTCATAAAACTTATGAGCGACATCAATCAATATACCTCTAGTTTTTATCATATCTGGTTTCTAAGCGTTCCTCGCTGAGTGATTATGAAAAAAAAAAGGTATTCACGGTTGCAATTAGCCTTTTAGGTATATTTTAGCGCGCGCGCTTAAATAAAAACCGCGATTTCCCAACTGTTTAACGACCCGTTGTAACCGTTACTTTTTGCAAATACTGCAAAGTCCAGAAGCAAACCAATGATATGACATCTTTCACTGAGATTACTGACGAGTGTTTGGAAACTAATATCGATATTTTGTATAGTTTTTTGCACCCGTTAGAAGAATGTGATGTTGGTGATATGCCAATTCACCCTAAAATAGTACGATTTGAATATTATAGGAAATTTAGTCACGCTTCAGTAGTTAAACGGAGTGATGAGGGCAAAACAGAACCATCTCGATCAGCCGACACTGAACCCATAAGTTACGCTTCCGTGTTTCAATTAGATCATTCATCTCATGCAGGACGAACTCAAAAGTTATAAATTATTTTCCAAACTTACGAGACTTCACTCGATTAATTGAAAACCGTTGTTTTATTGAAAACAATGAGCCTGACCAACTGACAACCTCGCACTTCACATAGATTAAGCAAAAAAGTAGCGCCGATCAAACTTCTTCTTTCGTTTTTAAATCCTTACCGATTGCTGAGTGCCTGCTACAAATGCACACCGGCCACAGTGATCAGACTGGCACTTGCTTTAGCTTTCATAGACGATTTTAATAGCAATTCGTCAACGTCGTGAGACAGTGTAACCGAAAAAAATGGTAAATAAAAAATGGCACCAAACAATTAATACAGGTCCAATTGTAGGCTTCATTAAAACTAGCTACGTTTAGCAAGCAAATGTATCAATAAGTAAACTTTGAAATTCGACAATTCCTGTTGCCACAGAAACAGAATGGGGATTTTAAGCATCCATACATTATAGAAAAGTGATTGCAACTGGAGAAACGCACTTCAGTCGCTGATAATCTAGAAGAAATACGTGGAGCTTTTATCATCAGCTTTAATATATGTTATGATCAAATGAATATTGAACATTGATTCACTTGAGGCAAGCAGTTAGAAACGGATATTAACACAACACCGGCGGGTGGCGAACCAATGATGTGGGGCTTCATTCCGTCCGGTAAGCGAGGGTGCTTTGATTTAAAGCAGATTGGAGCTGTAAATGATGTTAGTCATTGTTTTATCGAGATATTGCTATTAAGATGTAACGCTTCTGAATGTATTGATCTGATAAAGATAATGATGGTTGCAGTTGATAAAAACAGGCTGCTCTTAGACATATCAGACTCGTCAGTGGCCGCCGCACGGAAACAATATCTTATCTCCAGCCTACGTGTCGTAAAATCTTTGATTTTTCCATGGGAAGTATTCATTTATTATCACCTTCAAATATCACCAGTCTGGTGTTGGTCATCATAAATGAGAACTGTTTTTATCGATTTAAACTGCCGTTAATTACAACTAAATGGCGGACGTTAACACGGCTTCAGAAGAAAACTATTTTGCCAATACATGGCATTTGTCTTGTTTAGAAATAAAAGCTTTATTTTTCCTCCATTTTGCTCCATCTTCTCTCAATTTCAAAGTAGCCTTACGAGACCTTTTAACATGAAGAGCCATGATCGTTTATATGACGTCATTACGGTATGAACTGTCAGTCGATATATTGGCAGATTGACAAATCGTAATAATTTGTTAATCGAATTTCTTTGCTCTTTTCAAGTTGCCATATCTACCTATTTGGTGGAAATGGAGGATCTTTTCATTGTTCGAGTAAGGGCTTTGAATAAATAACCCATATGATAAAGCACCGATTTGGTTACCGTGTTGCCCAAGTCCTTGATTGTTCACCAAAAACTAGAAAACAAAAAGGAAATAAAAAAGGTTAATTTTACTTGTTGACAGTGACGTTAAGATTTTTCTTGCTTCTAGGGTATGTTCCAGCTGTCATTTTCCTGGTGTTTATCGTGATCATTTTAATTGGCCTTTTGGCTACATACTATTGCCTGAATAAAGAGATGTGTCCCTGCTCCAAGATGGAACCTCCCCAGAAAATCAAGGGCGCTGGATACGAGGAACTAGGAGAGGAACCAGCAGACACTTCTGAAGAGGAAGAAGGCCACGAGGAAGAAAAAGATGGAGTCCCTCCCGGGGAGGATTCCCCAGAGAAGTTGCCAACCTTTGAAATGAATGCTGGCGGGGACGATGTGCAAAAGACTGTCTCTGCATACGGAGACATCCAAGTAGATACGGGACTAAAAGAAGTCGACCAGGTCCCAGTTTTTGGAAGCGTTCATTTCCAAGTTGAGTACTCAATTAATGTGGGGCGTGTAGCCATCACGATCTTAGAGGCTCGAGAACTTCCCTCTAAGAGTCGAGGAGGCAGTTCACATTGCCGCTTCCATCTTCTATTGCTCCCATCAAGACGACAACGCTTCAAGAGCAAGTCACGACCAACGAGGCATCCAAAATTCGACGAGAAATTTGTATTTGATCGAGTTTTACAGCAAGACTTATTTAGAATGGCCATAAGAATCAGGCTTTATGGACACGACAAACTCGGAAAGGAGAAAGCGATTGGTGAACACATACTGCAGCTGGCGGACGTGGCTCAGTCACGTGACATGAAAATGGTCGCGTGGAGAGATCTGCGACCTAAACTTTCAGGAAGTGACACGCCCTAATTTTTTAGACTTATTTGATTTGTGACTGGTGGTAAAAACAAACAGTAGTATAAGTATCGATAATTGTTCAACTTATTCTTAAACAGTTTTCTGCCTGATAACATTACACATAATGGGATTCCAAGAGAAGAAAAAACTCCTAACAGTCGATTTTCAGTGAAAATCATGATGTTCGGAGATATTCTGAATTAATGTTGGGCAATGGTTACATTTTGTCGCTGTTTGCAATTGGCAGACATCTGTATGCTACGCTTTGCTTTGGCAATAAAGCGCAAATACTTTTGTACGAAAATTTACATGTAGTGGTGTATTTGGTTGTTGGTACAAGATTATGCCTAGCTACTATTTGGACTTCATTAGCTACGGAGGAGATATACTGATTTACGGCTTGTTAGTTAAAAAACCTTTTACATTTGAATGCTTTTCACGTCCTCAACTTGAAGCAAGTCACGTGTGGGCATTAGCCCAGAGAGACAAGGGGTTAAAAATATCAGTTCCGGTTCGAAACGATTCTTAGGGAAAAAAATCTACCTTAATTTGATCCTCAAATCCCTTCTCGAGGGTAAAACGAAGTGTCTCTCTTTGTCCAGGAACAATGTTCGTGCATATGAAAATGTTTTGCTTTTTTGGAAATTGCATTACTGCACACTCTATACTAAGTTAATTTTGATCAATTTTGCAACAACTCTGTCTTTTGACTCCTCTTCAAGTCAGAGTCAGAATATTGTTGCAATTTCACATTTTTGGGTTGAGCACCAATTGTTTGGCATACTATGGAGTTTTTGTTACGTGGGAGATGGAATAATGGGACACTTCTCCCAGCCCCAGTGATCTTGGCTTTTTCTAAGGTAAAGGAATAAAGGGTGCGAGTTTATAAAGAAACTGTGGCGCTGCGTCGGTGAACTAACACTCGAAACGTCAGCTTTAGAAACTTATTACGATGGCCAGTTTACATTATTATCAACTGAGTTAATAAAACCAAATTTTCTCAAATAAATTTGATTAACGTCAAGAGACAAACCAAAGAACCGAACTACTTATTTCCTTATACTGTTCATTAATTCACCGAAATTTAAACTTGCCTTCAAAAAAATTTGCATGAGGTGGTTATTACAGCTAGTTCTAAGAAAATCATAACATTTCCGAGAATTCTAGAAACGTCACATCCGCTCCTGTTAAGCGTTCTGATTGGCTGAAATAATTAGCTCATCGATCAGAACGGAAAAAAAAACAACAAATCGAGAATCCATCAGTTCTTCCTGTTGTCGTGATTCAACTTTAAAAACAAGGCATATAAACATGGCAACAAATCTAAAAGAGAGCTACGATCTTCTTGGGCTTCCAACTGACGCTACCGAAGAAGAAGTGCGAAAAGCGTACATAAAGAAGGCGAAAGAATGCCATCCGGACAAGAATCCTGATGATCCACAAGCCACAGAGAAATTTCAGGCGCTTAGTGAAGGATACGAGAGAATAAATTCAAATTCGAGAACAGAGTCCACTGATGAGGAAAATTTCAGTGGATGTGATGATTTCTTCAACTTCATATTCTTCCGGGAAATGATGCGAAGGAGGATGAGAGAGGAGATGATAATGAGAATGTTTGGAGGTATATTTGACGACGACATAGGCCTCGAGGGAGTTCACTTCCCGTTTGGAGGGCCTTTATTTAACCGCCCAAGGTCTCATGAATCTTTCGCACGATGGCATCATTCTCGGTTTCAGGATGAAAGAGCACCCAGTGCACACGATACTTCCACTAAATCGTCAAAGAAGGAAAAGCAGCGTAAAAAAAATCCACGCAACGCGTCGGACCTAGGACCCAGCGGAGACTTGCACGAACGAGAATATTCGAGAAGACGTAATTTTAGCAACGAGGCAACAACCTCAGATCGTGGAGAAACTATTAAAAGCAAATCTGCTGAGGAAAGTTTTCCCGCTAGTAATGAAAAAGAAACAAGTGACAAAAAGCGAGATGAACAACGTGATGCTCGAAAGTCAAAGCAGAAAAATAAGAACAAAGGACAAATGACGGCGGCTGAATGGCAAAAGGGACGAAAGAAAAATCACAAAAAGAAGACGGCGAGGTCCTGAAATGCTTGGCCCGGCATCAAGGCCGAAAGTTAAGCCTTGATTCTGTGAAATGGCAATGGGTAACAAAATGATGAAGGTTGATGGAATTCTTACGATTGATCCAATTTTTGTATCTTTCTGGAAAGTTCAACGACTCTCTTCACTCCTGAGAGAATCTCACGTTAGTGACAGAATTGTAAACGGGTATAGAGAGCCTTTTCCACATTTTGTTTCCATTAGTTGTAGTTTCGAAAAAAAATATTGATAATTGATAATAGAACAAAGGAAACTCATTGTTTCACGAGACAAGGCGAGATTGTCTCAAATATTTTGACGGAGAATGTTGGTTTTCACATTCTCTGTTTCCTTTAGTTACTGTGATATTGTTGTTAACTGTTGTGGGGTAGACATCTCTCTTTCGGTTTGTAAGAAATATCGGTCCATTCTTTTTTTTTTTTATTGCGATACCTTGGCGACATTTGAGTAGGAAGACAAAGATAACCCCAGCCCTCAAAAATAAAGACCAACAACACTTTTCTGCATCATAGATTCCGCAAACAGAATAATCAAGTTTATAAGCAGGCTTTAAAGAACTCCTTCAACACTTGGTTGAACAAACGTCTATAAATCGTAACAAGCAATAAAAGAAAAAATACTAAGCTAGGTCAGGTTAGTTAAGGTAGTTAATTTCCATGAAATTACAGCAAATTCAAATCGTTTTTACTAACATCATCTGCGGTGTTAAAACTGTTTGCTGAAACTTCAGCGAATATTGAATTATTGATTAGTTCGTTATTATAAAAAAAAATGTTCTTGATCCCATCAAAATAAACGTTTTCCGCAACGTCGTTATAATTCATTATTCCTAATTTCTTTGGGAGACTGTTACTGTACATGGTGACATGTGTGTTGTAAATTGAGGAACATAAATGGGAGGGTTTTAATTTATCATTTCAGAATAAAAAATGAACGTCAATCCTAAAAATAAGGACTTAATCCCGAAGCAAATTATACAAATGAACTTCATCAGAAGCTTCAATGATAGTAGAAGAATCGTTATGTTCTAAATAATACTACTGAACAAAAATCAACCACATCCTAACATACTTTTTTTTTCAATATTTCAAAAAAAAATTAAAATAAATGAATTAATTTTCGGTGAATAAGTGCTGGAAATCACTTTTCTTTTTTTTATAAACTTATTTGACCCAAAACATTTAGTCAACTCTTTTAACAATAATCTTTTTCATAATAATTTATAATCCTTGAAATCGCTTGGCACATTTCAAAATACAACCTAAAAATAAATTCCTACTTAATGTCATTTCAATTACCATCAAAATAAAGATGATTATGTTTGGAAGTTTATAGATTTTAGATAATATTACTCGGAACTTATTGCTGCTTAATGTTCCTTTCTATGGTTGCTTTATATGATCTACCTTCAATTATTACTTTTCTCTCTAACCAGTGTTTTTTATCCGTAAAATAACTTTGCCACAATATAAGCGTCAAAAAAACTTCTTGCTAACAAAATATGCCACATGAAGAGCCTTTTTTTAAAACCCTTACTAGCTCAAACGTTGTTGAATATTCTCAACTTTGATAAGCGGATGTTTCCAATATCTTCTGTTTCCTTCATAATCTTTATCTATGCACAATCCACGTGCACAAGAAAACTCTGGTCGTTTGAGTTGGAAAATGGAGTTAACAAGTGGTCTCGGTTCGGCCAAACAGGCCAATGGGAAAGTTTTTAATATGAGTAGGCCACTGGGATGACAATGAAAAAAACTTGACCCCACTCCACGTCACTCCGTCAATAACAACTGTAAATAGACGAACAGAATAACAACTGTAAATAGACAAACAGAATAATAACTGTAAATAGACAAACAGAATAACAACTGTAAATAGACAAACAGAATAACAACTGTAAATAAACAAACAGAATAATAACTGTAAATAGACAAACAGAATAACTGTAAATAGACAAACAATAACTGAATAGAGAAACAGAATAACAATTGTAAATAGACAAACAGAATAACAATTGTAAATAGACAAACAGAATAACAATTGTAAATAGACAAACAGAATAACAATTGTAAATAGACAAACAGAATAACAATTGTAAATAAACAAACAGAATAATTATGACAACTGAAAATAGATTAACAGAAAAAAAAATCAGAGACTAAGTGAAGACTAAGTAGAGAGCTCACCATTTAATGTACTGCTCTGTCCTTTAGTGGTGCAGATCAGTTTCGACACATTCACCATTACTGGTTGGTTCTTGGAATCAGCGTCTTTCTCTTTGGATTTTTTCATGGAACGCATCATTGCCTCGAGTCCTGTGACAACAAAAAATAGCACCATTTCACACTTTAGCATCGAAGAGAATACCGATCTGTAGTGGAATGCTACAAGACAGTGTTTGGTCTAAATGGCCCAGACTTTGATGATTATTTCGAATTTTGTAGAGATAAACTAAAGCCAACCATCCACAAAAAATACAAACTAAATTAGCTAAAGTTAACTCCTTTAAGGACCCCTTCTTCGTTATTATTATTATTATTATTATTAAATTTCAACACCTTACTCGCCACACTAACCGGCTTGCTCCGCCAAACAGCCTAAGAATACCCAAAACGTTATCACTGGAATATTCAGAAAACTCTCTGGTTGCTTTTTCTCAAAATCGTGATTATGGCTCCTAGTATTGACAAGTAACTCTCTTGCTGACACAGGACTGACTTCCACCCACACATCCTTCACATTAACAATAATAATAGCATTTCAAAAGTTCAGACCTCTTTTATTGCGTTCTTTGGTGACCGCCATTACTGAAAGCGCAGATGATTCCTCAGGAGTTGAAAGTCTTGTAACCACCAGCGTTTTGAAAGTTGTTTTAAGCGAGGACTAAAAATCAAAACAGGGAATGAGACAAAAGCATTAGCAATAACAAATTAGATGGTGCTGTGCAATTGGTGACCTAACTTACTTTGTTGACATCTTTTTTATTCCCCGCTGCAAGCCAGTAGTCCACTTGAAGATCCATCTGTTCGCTTGAGTATAGGCTCCCACCACTGCTCTCCTGGAGCCTGGTGGGTACAAAAGTACTAGGCATCAAGAATTATTATTATTATTACTGCCTTTACCTGAGAACAAAGAGAATAAACCCCTTTATCCATATCACAGCTACAATACCCGAAAACGCGACCAAGCATTAGGGTTGGTTTCCATACGATAGCTGCGATCGTTTGCAATCACAGATGCAAGAGTATTGTGGAGTAGATAATACGATATTACGATTACCGCTGTAGATGAAACTTGGTTTCCGTTTGAAAGCAGATCGCCAGCCACTCTTCCTGGCGATCGCATCGTTATATGGAAACAAAGCTTCAAGTTTAAAGGCAGAAGTAAAACTTAATATGGAGTGGTCCAAAGTTATAGCATTACTAGCCTATTACCATAAACTAAGAAAAGTAGCGCAAGAAAACAAGCAATATAATGGGCGAATACAAAATCTGACGGTCTTTATTAGAAGATGAAAGTAATTAGCGTACCCACTCAAAGGAGGGCTTGAAAATGGAGGCGTTTGCGAAGATCCTGGAGCAGGAGCTTGACTGTCACCCCTAGAGACAGCCCCTGTACTTTTGGCTCCAGTGGTCGATGGTGTTCCACTTGTCGCTACAGGTTCTTCGTCTGCTTGAATAAAACTAAGTCAGAATGAAGTTAAACGCTAAAAACGAAGAATTCATTCCAAACAGTGAATTACCTTGGTATATGTCGGCTGATCCAATCCTAACATCCTGCAATGAAAATGTACACGTCAAACTACTGTATATCTTGTTCCATTCCCTATGAATTACGACCAGCCCCTTCCTTGAAAATTCAGCTAGTTTGGCGGCAGGCACTAAGGGCGAACCCCCAGTTGGGGAATGGCCCGTTGACAGTGGCCAAAGCAACCTGGATCCAATTATGGAATGATTGAAACATTTTGAGATTTCTTGTTATTCCATACCCAGGAATTTGCTCTGCAGATTATCTACTCCCTGAGTTTTACGATAACAAGCTATTGTGTTTCGATACGAACGAAAGTTTTTTTGAGATTATTTTCTGCGATATTCAATTATTGCAGCAGAACAAAAACAAGGGTGGAAAAGGCGTAACTTCAGCTTTTATTAATTGCCGAGTGGCCGCATATTCAATTTTATTGAGACATTTCATTGAACCCTGATGCGTCTTCAAGGATAACACAAAAACAAAATCAAACAAGAAGAGTTTGGCGATCATAGTGGTTAAGTAATTATAACCTATTTTTTTTTTTATTTTAAAACCACACTCATAGTCATAGTCAAGAATGCTGACCCTTTAAACATTTTTATATCTCATGATACGATTGTACCCAAAAACAACCTAAAAGAATAAAATTTTTGGTTAATGTTTTATTACTTTTCACTCAATCGTCCTACGCTTTACATCGAATTGATTACTTACACAAACAAAAGGCAAAAACACTTGGGAAGATCCTTCCTCTGATCTAGAAGATGAACAGGAATACAGCATGACAATACGAGCTTTTCGTAATCAAGCATTCCAAACAGACTTGGATATATTCCGTTGGGGCGTGCTTTAAAAGCTGAGTACAGACAGCCCTATCTGTCGGTATCACCGAGCTAAAATATCGCCGCAACCAGGGGAGAAATAAGGCAATGAAAGTACACCAGTTATCGCTCACCCTTTTAGTTTTGTATTCACAAGAGCCTCAGCAATCGGTAAGTTGTGCGTGATTGTCGCTGATGACATCAGAGTTTTAACTCGCCTGCTCACCTCCTCGAAATCTAACAGAACAAAATTCCGAAAGGTAATCAGAGACGATAATAAGACTACAATGACACAATAGTACAGTATGGTATATCAACACAACAACATTATACTAGAGAAGTAAAGTAACCACGTTACAATAGGATATATTTTTTTACACTTCGGTGGTGCCTTGGTGAGAGCACTCACCAACCACCAGTAGTGTCGTCTGGATTCTACAATTGGATATATCCTTGATCTGCTAATACGATTCACTCAAAAGAGGAATGTGAAAGTATCACCACAAGAAATAGCATAGGATAAGTAGTTAAATTATCTTTTCGTTTTCATATAAACTACCTCGCTTAGAGTAAACAAAAGCTAAAAAAGACCTCCCGACTTACCAATAGCAGTGTCTGAATGCTCAAAAGCTTCTCTCCAAAAGTTATCCATAAAAA